GCATATTTTCTTTCCAGGAATGACTGAAATGTTTATGCTATCAAAATCTTCAGCAGTATCCATCGACACTTCTCGTAAGGACCCTTTTATTGGTTTCTGGTGTTTTTGAAATGGATTGCAACAGCTTCTTTGAAACTGTGAATATCTCACAAGTACTGCCTGCTCATGATGCAGACAAATTGTAAGTTCAGGATTGTTTAATATTCCTGTTCTCAGTGACACCAACTTGACCTGCTCAGTTGTTAACAGGTTCAATGATTTTAGCCCAGTTAACCTTGTATGAACACTTAAATGGCAATCTTCCTTTAGGTGCCTTCCAATAGAACAATCCTTTAACTTCTCGGATGAAGACATCATAAATTTCTTGAGAATTGTAGAGAGAACACGTGTACGTTTTACTTTGCTTCGCTTTATTGTCTAAAACATTTGACTCAGTATGCGAAATACTTCATGTAAGCACCACATGCTTTGTTTCATGAATTATTAATACACCATGCAAACCATTAAAAATCAATGTTTATATAAATATATACTGAATTTTTGCATTAATTGGTGTTTTTTAAAATTTTAATGAATAGTAAATTTTTATTTTATACATTTTATCCTTAATTTTTACAAAAAGATAGCATGTAGAGAGAGAGAGAGAGCACTCAAATCCAAATCAGAACAAATTCCAGTCATAGAAATATGTCACTTTTCAGTAGATTTTATATTATCGGAGCATAATTTCACATATATCTCCTTATTATTTTTGTTGCCATGTTTCTCAGCATGTAGAGCAGACACCAAGTCCAAACTTGGTGAAAGTAATGCTTATTATACATACATCTGACATACCAAAAATTATTTTGGTGGTACATTGTCAACATTGAAAATTACCACTATGTAATTTGACACCTTTTTATAATTGCGGAATCATTGTCTGTCTTCAAACATTGAAAATGTGCTTTTTTCATTAAATTATGATAATTTTGACTTTGTATTCTGAATCAGCATGTCTTAAAATGGTAAACAGCCAATTTTCATACCCCTGGTATTAAAGGAAGCAAAATTATGGTCGTCATACCATACATGCTTTTTACCAGGTGAATATTTACTGTAACCGACACCCGTTTTAGGTGAAATATTGAAAAGCCAATATTTCAAGAACGAATAGAGCTATTGAGCTGAAATTTGGTGTGCTTTCATATCTAACTAATATCTTCACTTGGTATAATTTTGGTGACAATCTGAGAGGGGATGGTGTCATTTTTATTTTTTTCTTGCTGATTTGATGTGGAATGACCCGTATGCAAGAAAATGATCATACTTTTATTATAATCCAAGCAGAGATTATTCAATATTTGAAAATGCCTTAACCTATAAACTATGAGTGCTTCATGCAAAAGCGAGTCTGGGACATATAAATAATATAAGTTTCTACATAAGCCACAGACATTAATAAAAAATGCAAGACATATCATAATCATCCCAACCTCTTCTTCCATGCGTACGTGAACCTCATCCTTAACCCATGTTTTCTTGCGAGCATTGTAACGATGACGTATCCCAACCTCGTCTGGAAAGTTCTCATCAATATGAAATTTCTGCCATGGGTCAGACATGTGTTTTGTTCTTTCAGCAGCTTTTTTCCAATGACCATGTGAGTGACTATGGTGATGAGCATTGGGATTTGATGGAATTGTCATTCCTAAATTAGAGTAGTGATTTTATGGTAGCATACAAACAATTATATAACACCTTTTTATTTATTGTCTTTTAAATGGTTGTTTTTGATCACATGATATGAATAAAAATCTTCATTTTTCTGATGGGAGTTTTAACTGCAGGTGGCTTTCGCTACATTTATATATTCATTTCCTGGGAGATGGAATATTCCATTTAACTTTACAGCTACACCTCATGAAAATATTTGTACGATTAAACTAATAAAAATTCATTATTGGTATATTTAAAGGTTAAGAAACAAGGTTACAGTTATTCCTGTGGTGATTACGTGGTTGCTTAATAATACGGAAATGATTGTTGAATGTCACCACTGTTTGTTCACAAACATTCATATACTTCCTACAAAAAACCTAGCTGTTGTATCTAGAGTTAAAGATACCAACAACATGCATTTACAAATAAGTGAAGCTGTATTAGACTGATACCTGGATTAAAATAAAGCTAATAATAGCTATATTTAAATTCTTACCGTTCGGTCGGTTCCCGGCTGCTTTGCTGTCCATTTTAATATGAAACGAGAAAAATATTTTCTGAATTATTATCTGATATTCAAAACTATCTTTCAGTTTGTCTATAACGCCTTTCTTTTCCTTTAAAAAATAGGAAACTTCGACACATCAGAATCAGACAAAAGGATCGTCAAAACAGTCTGGGCGAAATGAAAACACATCATTCATAGAGCGCATAAATTTTCATATATTATAAACCAAGAGGTTGTGGATGATTGACCATAAGGTTGCTCCGCAGTTAAATAAGCAACAAAAATCACTTTGTGAAACCAATAAGATAATTGAGCTTTATATGGATGTGCCGCTTTAGGGCACTGGTATAATTTAAATTCTATCCACCATTGGATGCTAGATCAATACTCGAAGCAGCACCTTTTTTGCAAGTCCAGAGTCCCTGTGAATATAATTTGTAATACCAACTTCCTTTCTATTCTATAATGTGGTGGTGTGTTACAGAAGTAGTATATATACAATAGTCTTAATATGGAAGCATTTCTGTCCTATTTTTATATTGCAAAGACTCGCTATCAGGTTTCTGTTCATTTTGTAATGGATACAAATTAAATCTTCTCTGGACGTCAAAGCCCAATCTCATAAAACTCAACCACAACTTGTTTGCGAGTATGAAAGGCAATCTGCATGGCTGAATTCTGCAGATGAAACTTAAACCATATTGTAAGACATCTTTGCAAAATGGTCAAGGAAAAAAAATATTCCAAAGATTCTACTTGCTAAGTTAGACAAATATCATACAAGGTGCAATAAGTATTACTTTCTGTCAAAGATACCACACTGGATAACTCTATCAGTTCTAAACTGTTCTCCCTGGATGTCTCTACCAACTCTAACTGATTGTATATAAAAGGATATGAGAATGTCCACGGTGGTTTTCCGCCATTAATATAAAAGACATATAAATAGCCATTTTTCTGTCTTCCTTTGATTGCATAATAACATGGCATGTAGCGAAACAAACGAAACTTGTGACGTTCATAAAAACCCAAAGCCACATAGTTTGTTGTAAGAACATGAAGGTACACTGCTTTACAGTTGAAATATTCTTCTGTTGTCAGCAAACCAAACAGATTGTTCAATAAAAGAGATGCTTAATAAGGAAAAAATAATATAGTATATATTATTTATTTTAAAGGAAGGTTGCTCAGCACATTCCCTTCTTACCAATTCCATTTTTCCTGTACTCCTTCACAACCCCCAAACTCAACACATATGCAACCCTTGTGTCTTTTAAATATCGTCCACCTAATATACCACTGTCCTAAAACATTTAACAAAACAAACCATAAGCTGATAAATCTATACAGTTAATAATAATCCTTTCTAACAGCTTACCTCAGGATTACATTTGGAAATACTTTTGACTTCAGCAATCAAAATGCCTATAATCCTACCATTTAAAACAGCGGCCAAGGAATAAAATCTTGGACTTGAAGTGATATCATTATACCAGGTATCTGGGTAACTGAAACATAGTAGAAATTACAATCCTATGAGTAAATAACTCTTGTCCCTTCTTTATTACTTTGCAATACATCCTTTTCAGTGTTTATTTCTCAAAAATGGCTATAAACAAAACTGGCCAACATAAAGAATAATTTTGAAATGGGTTTTGTATGGCAGCTATAATTTCTTTTGTGAAAATTCCCACAAAAACCAACTTCATACAAATAGGAGGAATTAATTTGTTACAATTATGTTGACAGTTTATCATAAAAACAATAATAAATGTATAGACATTCGAAAGTCAAAACTTCTGAGGCTGAAAATTTATAAAAATGAAATACCATTGCCAAAAGTAGAAGAGACTGTAATTTAAATTGCAAAAGAAAAACAAATGTAAGTGCCAATTTCAGTCTTATCTTATAAAACCACAGCTGAAGCAGATGAATGTTATCTGAAATATGCAACACAAAAGAAGATATCCTCATATCCACTTCCATTCACACGGGCAATTAAAGGAAAAATGGAAATCTAATTAAATATTAGTTATCATCAGAACGTTGTGCTAGGATTATTTGGTATATACATTGATATAATGTACTGTGATTCACTTTAATCCTTCAACATGCTTTCAACAGCACACAGCATGCTACACAGCGAGAAATACGTACATATTCTTACATGTTAATATCTTTTAACACAAACATCCTCAATAATTCACTATTAAATTTCGTATGCTGAAACAACTTTGCAGTCTCGTTTGAAAAATAATAAATCATTTATTACAAAAGATGAAGATACATACTCGATAGGGAACCATTTGCAGCATAGACCTTTCACTTCGTTGACATCGGCGGGGCACAAGAAACGTAGTTGAAGACTGTTTATTAGGCCTAATTCCTGCTTCATAGGCGGTAAAATTGTCCGTGCGAGTGATCAACACATCGCTGTTTATATTCAAACAAAACGTCGATGCGGTTTCAGTTCAAACTGCGTTTAGACGAAGCGATAAGAAAGACAGAAGACCACAAATAATATAAAACTTAAAAAAAATTTACTATTTTACACGAACTACTTCATGTAAGAGATATTAAACTCTCTAATAAGAGATATTTTTTATTTGGACATTTTCTACAGGAGAAAAAAAAATTGGAGCAATTCTCTTCTGTAAGATAGACCTAGATTTTATTTATACATCACCACTAGACCATCAGCTCAAAGATTACAGATAACATTCTTTCTTAGATATGAAACATCCACTTTCCAGACTATTGTTTTCACCACATAACATAACCATCCAAGCTTACTTTTACATTCCTTATCTTTGTTTACGTTTCTTCTTGCGTTTCCCCTCAGGGAGTCGGATAACATTATCATTCTCCTCATCACGAGGACGCTTCCTTTTTTCATCACCTTCACGCATTTCCTGAAATTGTAAAAGTAATCTTCACAATTCATCTTTACATATTATGACACTTAAGAAGGGCCAGCAACCTTTCATGACTGAAAAGATGTTAAGTGTCTACTTATCTAGTCTCTTAGTTGCCTTTAATAAGAAAGGCTGGATTAAGTGAAATGGGTTCTGAAGCACAGCACACAAGCAGTTCAAACCATTACCATTTTTGCAAATCTTTGTGCTTCAGTGACTCTTTCTACCAACATCATGACTTCTTCTTCAACAACTTCAAATTTTGGCAATCTTTTTCCTATTAACTGCTCTATTCTTTGATATAGTTCAACATCATACCTAGTTGAAAAAGAAATTAATAAATATATATATGTATATGTATGTTGTCACCTAGAAAATGTTTAAATTTTCATATTTTGGGGGATTTCTGTGTGGGATTGCATATATTAGCTGTGCAACTAAGTTCAACTACAGCATGAAAATTTTTTGCCCATGCAAGATTAGATATGTATCCTTACTGTGTAACAAATGTTACAGCCCTCCCAGATCTTCCAGCCCGGGCTGTTCGCCCAACACGGTGAATATAGTCCTGAAAAAGATCAATAAACATACTAAGGTGCTGTTTTTAGCAATATATAAGAACACACAGAAGAGTTAAAACTGTTAGCAATGTTTACCTCCACAATAATAAAGTGCAACACTTGATTTATTTTACCAACCTTTGAATGAGTGGGAATATCAAAATTTATAACAACATCAACATGGGGAATATCCAACCCCCGACTAGCAACATCTGTGGCAATCAATATGGATCGAGCTTTTGACTTAAACTTGTTTAGCGTACCAAGACGTTTAGACTATAATAAAATTTAAAGACATTGAACAAAAAAGGCACTAAGAACATGCAAAGGGCATCCAAGCAATTACTTGACTCATTTGCCCATGCAATGGAACAGCATGTAAGCCAAGGTTTCTTAGAAGTAATGTTGTTCTAAAAAACACAAATAATACAATTTAAATAAAATGCAAATATTTATAAGAAAATGCAACAAGTATATTAGAAGTTGTTACCTTTGTACATTGTTGCAAGTCCCACAAAATACCATGAAAGAATTTCCAGCAAGATCATTTAATATGCTGACCAAATAACAATCCTAAGATGAACAGATCAATGCGTGTGATTAATTACGAAACATGTAGAGATATACCAAGATGTGGTATTTATAATATAATCACCCACCTTGTATTTGCTTGGTATAAAAATATAACTTTGTACAAGTTTTTCCACTGTTGTATACCTGTAAAAACAATAAATAAATACAATCAGTCTTCCTTGAAATGCGAGGCAATAGTTAGCAAAGAGAGAGCATCCAGCATTTCAGGGGCAGTAACATAGCCAACCAGCCATCCTGATAATAAATCAGTCCAAATTTCAAGTACCCATCTTAGGTTGGCAAATATACACGGCTAAAAACTCTGAGTCTGCGGTTGAACAGGGTGTACAATGTTGTGCGTGCCCACATTGTTAACCGTTGTTGTCAACATTGAACAGTATTGTTGAAAATGAATCCCAGGTGTAACAATATTGTTCTCTGAACAACTCTGAACAATGTGGGCAGCACAACATTGTATGCGTGTATATGGCGGGCATTGAAAATCATTGAAACTTAGAGCTTACTTTGTTGAGACTTCAACTTTAACTGGATCCTGTAATGAGGCCCTTTGAAGTTTCTTAACCTGTAGAGAGGGAGTTGTGATTTATTAGTGCCCTCAAAAAATATAAAATTTCTTATTTGTGAAGTTACCTTTTTTGTCATAGTGGCAGAGAAAAGATATGTTCGTCTTTGTTTTGGAATGACTTTAAGCAACTTGTCAACCTATGGAAGTAGAATCATCAGAATCAAGAATAAAACATGGATGAAATTAATTGTATTGATTTAAAATAAACCATAAATCCTAACTTCTTTCTCAAAGTCCATATTTAAAATTCTGTCAGCCTCATCCATGACCTACAAGATTTCAAAAAAAAAACCTCAGTATTTTGTACAGTGCAATAAACTACTGGAGGAAAGCAATATTAACAGACTTACTAAGAATTTCAAGGGCCTTAAGTTAAATCCTTTTGTGTTTTCAAGGTGATCAACTATTCTTCCAGGTGTTGCTAAAATAAAACAGAATAAGGCTAAGATGTAACTACCATATATTTATGATGTTGTAACTCCTGAAAATATTTTTTCCAGCTGACATTTTTTAATTCTCATGTTGATATTTGCCTACTTACCTACAATTATATGAGGTTTTTTTGCCAGGGCTAATGACTGAGACATCATGTCAATACCACCAACTATAACCGCTGAATAAGGAGACATACAATACCAACTTTTGTATCATCAAATTTTTTTACTAGTATTAAAACACCGCAGGTTTATTGAAAAGCGTGGGACATCTTACAATGAAAACAAATACTTACCACATTTGATACTAATCACAGAACCAAGTGCTTCAAATTGTTCAGATATCTGAAAGGCAAGTTCCCTAAAAAATTCATAACATTAGCAAATACTTTTCATCACTATATCATCGCTATAACTAACATACAGGGCCCTAGATAGACAAATATATATATATATATATATATGTTATTTACCAGATTGGAGGTCCGTATAGGGAAATATTTCCCAAGGTCTCAAAAACAGCCTGAGGCCGAAGGCTGAGGGACATTTTTGAGGCTGAGGGAAATATTTCCCTATACGGGCTGACTAAACTGGTTATAATGGATTGACTTTTTTTCTTGCCGTCCGAATTAATATTTTAGCGTTGGCTCCGGCTTTTGAATCTGGCGCAGTCCATACGGCCTTGTATGGCCTCTTGCGTAGCCAATCAGATTGCAGGAAACACTAAAATATGAATTCGGACCGCAAGAAAAAAATAAATACATTTATCGTACTTGTGGTTATTAGGATTGAATATATTAAATACCTGGTTGGGGTCATAACCAAAGCAAATAATCTTTGTGGGTTTTCTAACAAAGCTTGAAGAATTGGCAAGGCAAATGCCCCTGTTTTACCAGATCCTGTCTCTGCAAGACCAATGATATCCTTTCCTTTGAGAGAAAATACAAAAACTGAAAAACATTTGACTATATATATTTTATTTGACAGACATCATTCCTTAAACCAGTATAATTCTAAATATTATCAGTGTAGTTATGTCTCAAGTTACTGCCTTATATCTAAATTCCTACAACCAACCTTGCAAAGCCAAGGGAATACATTCACGTTGAATTTTTGTAGGATTATTCCAACCGATTTTCCCACATGCTTCACAAAGTACTTCCGTAACTCCCTGTAAAACACGATTTTCGAATTAAAATGACATTAAACACAAAAATAACGAATCCAATAAAGGCAAAATAGTAATTTGACACTCACAAGGGTTTTGAATGTTTCGTTTTGTGTAATATTTTCATCTTTACTTGCATCCTGGATTTCCACATTGGCGGCCATATTGGACTTAAGTAAAGTATTTCGCGACAAAAAAGATGGAAAACGTTCGAACTACTCGTTACTATGGTTACTACGCTTGTCTCCATGGTTACTATTTACCAACGAATATGGCGGCCGAATTTTGCATAGAATACATATAATAAAACTTGTTTTTGTAAAATAAATCTCTGTGGCAGACAAATCTCGATAATTTATAGTGAAATTACTCATTCAAAAAAACAAATGCTTACAGTGACAATCACAAGGTCAAGCCAAATGTTACCTCATTAATTAATCGATGACCGGAAGAAAGATGGAACTATCACAAAAATCTGAGAAAATGAACAGTCTGGTAAAAGAACAGGTACAAAAGCATTCTTAGATATTGATTGTATAATGAGGCCTCAATACCGTGTCAGATTCTTACTGAGTTCCCCATGAAAAACGCCATTTTTATCAACGTTTGAAAAATACACCCGGACATTGTCTTGTTTTCAATCAAGTTCAGTGTAAAAAACTTGATTGAAAACAGATTGAAAACAAGAGTAAAAACAAGTACGGTTATCGGTTTTCCAAAATGGTAAAGCTATATGTGAAAGGTAGTACTGCCAACACTCCCTCTCCGTGTCGGCGTATTATATAGCGTACTATGTTTCTAGCTATGGACGAAATGCTATTTTTGTATTTAAGGTCGACATGATCAAACAGAGTCAGGAGAAACTTCACAATCTTGTTGAAAACATTAACGACTCCGAAAATGAGGTGATCTTTGCAGTTCAAATATAACAATGCTGTGAGATGGTGCTTTAGATCTTTGTCTTTTGAATGTTTAGATTGATCTAAGCACAGTTGAATCAGTAAAAGACATCGTCAAAAAAAGCGAAACCTTGATCGTTCTAGTCCAGGTAAAGTGTTTTCAAACTTTGTAAGGATTTTGTTACCAACCATTTGTCATAGGAAGTTATAGGCATCGAATGGTTATAAGTACCGCATTTCAGTCCAAGCGCTGGATGGAACGAGGTTGCCTTTGTAATCGAATTGATCAGCAGTTCTTGATTCTCACAATATCGTTTTTTGGCCGTAGGTGATCGTCAAAGTACGGAACGAGCTTGGTCATGCGCGCTTAGATTTAGAAAAGGCAAAGAAAGCGAAAAAAATGGTAAGGCAGCAGATAATAACACATGCTGACATGCACATAGCGTCATTTGACTCCTGTAGCTAGAGATTGAATTTTTAGGTGAAAGAAGCGAAGAACAGGTTAGAATGGCTTGAAAAGAGACTAGAAAAGTTGCTTGTAGAGTGTCACGAGAAAGCCAACCATCTGCTAAAATCCGCAACAGTCAGTTCACTTGGTGAATCACTGGCTCAAACACATCTCTCCGGTAACAAAAATGAACGATTCACCCCGTCACAATGCGAGAGACTGTTCTCTGATGTCGGCGGTTACTGTGTTAAAACCCCAGAAGTATGTCACAGTGAAAAACGTAACTGTTATAACGTGACAAAAAACGTCTTAGATATGAGCCAGAGATTGATAGAACAAGGTGAGACGCACATCAAGGCTTGCAAACATACTGTAACTCCACAATCCTATCCCCAAAATAAGAAATCTCTGAAAAAAACGTCTTCACATTCACCAAATTCTTCTCGGTCTAAAAATTGTCAATTCTTATTTCACGTCCGCTTCACTGATCGTTTTCTTAACAGATGATAAAAATTATTTCAATGAAGAAGAAAGTTCTACATCGTTTGGAAATGTTTCATATCCTGATCGTAACGAAACTAAGCATAGCGTTGCAGACGACAATAATTCTTGTACTACAGTTTCTTCTCTAAAAGACTTCAATGACAAACCACGGACAACCATTGTAACGACGAGAGATTCGCAAACTTCCTTGGGTGAAGATTACGACGATGATGTGGAAAAATATTGGAAGTCCGATCATCATAGATTTGACTGGCCCGATAGCAACGTTCAAACGAGGTCTCCAAATTTCATGGCACTCTCTTGGGCTTCCTGTCCAAGATAGCTTTATTGCTAAAGGTACAGCAACGAAACACGAATTATCCACCACATAATACATCACCATACAGTCACATTTCACTTTCACATTGTGTTTTAAAATTTTATGCACCATGGTTTAGAACGGCCAGTCTTTACTCCTGATCTTCCTTGGAAAGAAAAGGCAACTCAGGTCAACAGCGTTCTTGATATACACGTACGTCTTTTATTAATTAATCAAGATTACGACAAGTTACCAAACGTCAAACGTCGATACCAATTGATGACCTCGTTTGTACACAAGCTGGACAATACTTAATCTAAATTTCTCTCCGTCTTTTAGAAAATAGCTCTAGACAAATTGTACGCAAGACTTCACCACATGTATGAGGTGATAGAGAAGGCAACCGAGGCGTCGATAAAACCTGTGCTGAAAAATGACAAGATTGAAGCTCGAATGAGAAATATTGAAAGTGGGTTATATGGTCAATATTTTGATCATAAAAAACTTGGTAATTAATAAAGAGTTTTTACCATATTTTAGGTGCAACAAGAATTCAGAGGGAGATCAGTAAAGACATGGTTAGTGTAGGAGGATTGTTATCGTGATAATAACGCTACTCTGCATGTGAGATCCATCATCGTTGATTCCAGATGAATAAGTGATGGCAAAGACTAGTATCTTGATAACATGTCATCCTTAAATGCTTCATTCCAATGCTCCATTCTTAAAGATCCCAGAAGATAGCGCTCATAAGAAATCCGATGATTTTGAAGAGAAGCTTCCAAAATTAGATCAAGATAATGTTCCTGTGCGCCAAATTGATGCTAAAGGAAAAGGTTCAGTGAAGGTAAACTATTGCTGAGAAATATCCAAAGGCCCATAAAATACTCATGATAAAAAGGTATACAAAGAACTGATATAAAGAATCTACGAGTCGTCTTCAAAGATATGTCTTTGATGAAAACTTTTGAGTACATACGTATTTGTTGTAGATGCCACGTCTAGTTTTTCCTCGGAACTCAAACGTCTGGTGTGCCAGCAAAGCAAGTGCAGGGGGAAGAGTCGTGAAGAAAATCAAGACAAAACCTCCAACACAACAGAGCAAAACACAAGCTATACTTGCCAGGGTAGGTATAGAGACAAAATAGGTACAGGAGAAGGAAGAGTTGTGATCAAGGCCAAACACACAACCCAATACAAATCATACTTGTTGAGGAGTTTTATTGAATGTTTTCACGACATAAAGTAATCTTTATTTTCCACCTTAATCTATACAGAAAATGTTAGAAAACAACGAAGCTAATACCGATGAGATGAAAAAGTAAGTGAACAGCTCGGAATAGAAAAACCTATTATCAGTTATCACCGTTTTCTGATGCCGATGTTATGATGAACCAACCTTGGTAAAAGGTCCATTAATTGTTCCTTTTAGACAAGAGGCTATGATTTGGAGACCTTCCATAGTTTACAAGATGGTCAAAGCAACTAAAGGTGGATATAAAAACCTTGCTGTCTATTGAGAATGAATACGTGTTTTTAAACAAACAATATAATAAATAAAACTTCATTCCAATTTCTGTTCAAAATATTTTCTAGTTCTCAAGATATTCCAGGCGCAATTACAACAATACAATGCCACCCGCAAATGTGATCAGAAATGGAATAGAGTTGAGTGGTTGTTAGGTCCAAATGGCTTACTTTCACCAACGAAAAAGACTGTCATTGACTCATTAAAGGTTATCACGAAAATATTTATTATGACTTGCAGATAAGACAGTTATTTGATAATAAATATTTCAACAGGCTCTGAGTGAACTCCGTTGCTCTGAAGAGGAAGTGGGAGCAGCTATCAAAACATTTGTAAGTCTATTGTCACAGTTTTTTTCTTGGAATAAAAGAGTCTTTAAGAGTTGCAACGTCTGATGAAATTTGAATATTACAGTTGCGCGAAAGCAAAGATCCACGAATTTTGTACGAAGCAAGCAAGGCTTTGATTCTGTCAGGTTTGTGAATATTTTGGGAATCTAACAGAGTTTTGAGGTGAACGAGAGCTTATTAGAGCAACCACTGCAAGAAAACTCCGACAAGCAAGAAGCTGAATGACATTGCATTGTTTCCGTTTCAAGGTCACTGGCATTCCTCAGCTATTGAGATTCTTCAAAATGCACTTAAATTTGGTGAGTTTAAGAAATTCCTTCAGCTCAAACAGAGTATATGCAAGAAAACGATATTGTCTCCTGGCGTCATATCGTGTATCCTTTTCACCTTCTCAGGATCAAAAAGCTTGAAACAAGAAATACTAGATGTTTTGTGTTCTGTCGACAACATACCCTTTTTTGACAAGGTAAAGGGTCGAGGAACTTGTGTCCGACGAGGGGCAATGGAAGAAGCTGATATAAATCTTTATAGATCTTTATAGATAAATCTCTTTCTAGAAAGCTCAACCATTCCAAGAAACCTTAGATGTCTTAGAAGATCTTATCCAAGGCAACGACCCCAGCTTAGCATTTTCCAGCGCGTTATGTTTGGGTAGATTGTTCGTTGTCCATCCCGTTGCCAAAAGATATTTACTTGGCGTTATCAAAACTAATTCATTGATTTCAACACAGCGCTGTCAGGTACCAATGAGTTATTATATCAGACTATCACCACATAATTTAACACAGTGAATCATCGCACATGATATAGCCCAATCGTTTGGTATGTAATTCAACTCGATCAAGTAACCAATCCACAAATGATCAACTTGACATCACTCTCAGCAAGTTATTCATTAACTTTCAGGCCTTGAATGTTTTGGTTCGTCAAATGAACAGTAAAGATAAAATTGTCGTCGAATCTTTGCTACACGAATTAAGCACTTCAGTTAGTTGGAAGGTAATAAACTTAAACGACAACAGTCGCTATCACCAACGGCTGGAATGGAATTGGGCACAGCATCCTTGATAATGAACCTGGTGAGATAGATCTAATGAGATAGAGCCAATATTTCATCGTATTCTCTGCATTTCAGGTTCGCGTACAGGCTTGTGATCTATTGATGTTTGTTGGTGAGGGTTTCACGTCGAAATTTATCTATTATAATCCATAACTAATTCTGTACATTTTAACAAAATAATGTTCTTTTTCTCTCAGGAAATCGTCATGTCCTGGCGAAAGACGTCGATGAGATATTTCAGATCTTAGAGCGACTACTTTGGGATCATGCGCATCAAGTAGTTAGATCAAAAGTTGCAGAATTATTGAATACATTGAGATTAAGAAACAAAGCCTGTAGCCTCGTCCATAGGTACCAAATAAGCGATATCATATTCAGCTGAAATATATCCTCTCTTTCAATGTTTATTTGTGTTTGTTAGGCGTCTTGATGATCCAGAAGATACTGTACGCGCACGAGCGATCATATCAATGGTAAGTTACGACACTTTCCACATGAAAGAAACGATATATTAACATTAATTTCCATTATCCATTTTCCTGTTTTGATACTCCACAGGCGACTTTGGAAATGAAAGGAGAAAAGGAGCTTAAATCTCTTCTGGATATCTTAGCGCTGGACTCCAGTGTTTACGCCAGAATACAGGTCAGTATTTCTTCAAGAAGTATTCATAGATTACCCGATAAAAACCATGGAAATATCTGCATAATTTGCGGTCTAGGCTGTACGGGCGTTCAGCAAATTGAAGTGGGATGATCCGAGAGTTTTAAGGAGTTTGAGGGAAAGAGAAAGAGGTGAAGGAATATTAGCGAGGTATATTGTGGTGATAAATTCATAAATTTGTTCACAAAAGTCCAACACATCCAACAACCATCGTTTTTATCCACAGGGAGGCAAAGAAAGCTCTTGAGCAGTTGACAGGAAAAGGAAAATAGATCTTCTCAAAATAAACATGAAAATTGTTGCACTAAAACACTATAGATATAAACAAAATTTAGACCTACATTAATATAGGTGCAATCGTTTAGTTACATGGACTAACAATGTCAGCTATTAGGAAATTATTTTAATGAATAAACATTATACAAACCTTGTGATGTGACTTATAAAATTTAAACAATATTTTATCAATATTTTATCAATTCAAGGGATTTTATGGTCAATGTTTTAATAAAACAACGAATGGAATGATGAATATATGATAAATAATTTGATCATTTTTATTGATAACTACGTATAGTTATGAATTATTTGAATCAATTGTCATCTATTGTTCACTATCTGACAGTATTTAAGTTATTTGTTATTTGGGTTGATAATGTTGCAATTATCTTTGTTTAACAAGTAAACACTCATTTATTGTTTATTCTGAACATCAGAGGTTGATTCTCACGTCTCACGTCACGGGAGTCATAACTTTATCACCTAGCTAAGTAATAACTTCTTTACGAAATCAATCCAGTGCTAAACACCACATTCAATAATTTATTTACTCACGGACCGAGACGTCATTTCTCCTCTTCGTCTTTTGTATTTTGCTGTAAAATCAAAGAAATTATGTTTGTATTGCTGTAATTTATTGTACAAAACTCGTGCATTGCATATTTCAGAAGGATGTGAGGTGTACCATATCTACACACCTGTTCAATCTCAGGAAAGATCTCTACTATTAATGTATCCAACAACGTATAAGCGAGCTTAAAGAAAAGAAAAAATTAGTAATATTTAAAAATATTCCACGAAAAGGATTAAAAAGACTGGAGTAAAACTAACTTGTTTGTTCAGTTGTTCATATTGTAGCAGTTCAAATATGGCAGTGAGACCTTCGTTGTATTTCTGTTTGCCGAGTAGTTTCACGAGTGGTGCTAAATTTAAGACGAAATACACAGATATACCAATATTGAATACAGCAGTGGAGCAGTTGTAAAGAATGTACTGAGATCATCAATCGACATGAAATAATAGAAATCTTACTTGGAAAAAATCCCAGAAGCTGTCTCAACGTCTTGTCTCTTCTTTCCATTTTGTCTGTCTCAGTTCTAGAGAATTTAAAGAGATTAATACAACCACTCATTTTGTGCGAAAAATTACGGGACTAAGTACAGATCAGCAGTCACGGCCAGACAAACTGTAATACCCAGGCGCTTTTACGCGTTCCCAAGAAAGCAAAACCTGCCCCGGGAGGAGTTTTTTACGCAGTCTCCTTCCAAGCAATCCCAAGTCTGAAGGTTTGGGAGGCGGGTATTAGCTAGTAAAATACAAACCAACCTTGGTGGGTCATTATCAAAGAACACAGCATCTAAGAAAAACACAGAAATGATTAGGAAGGAAGGTAAAACAGAGACAATAATCAACAACAAGAAGCTTTCCAATGTGCAGGCATTTTATCACTGAAGGTTGATAGGCGACAAGGACTCGTTATCTTTGAAAGGCAAAGCAACTGACCTCGGAACATCTGGATAACTGGCACAAAATGATACTCGTGAAGCGCGAGACGTATTTTGTACGCGAGATACCTGCAAAAGCACAACATTCGAGTGTCAATATTTAGTTTGTGGCAAACACTTCCACAGGTGAACTCGCGAAGAACTCAGGAAGACTGAAAATACCTGTCTACAAAATCATCAAAAGTTCGCTGGCCAACAATTCGAAAGCATATCAGAAGATTCAAGCACCAAGCAGGGACTTCGAACAAATGGATGGCTGAAATGAATCAAACATATTATGTTCATGTTATTAGGATTTTTGAATAAGATTAAAATGATTTGCGATTTATTTATTTTAAGAAACATTGAAACTATTCACCGATATAAAGAATGTATTCTGTTACTCCATTCAATTGCAAAATAGGACTGGGCTTTACGTTTGCATCTAAAAAAGAAAAGCACAGAATTTTCAGAATCATCTCTTTAAACACTGATCATGTTAGTCCTGGAAAACAAAAAATCTTCATATTAGGCAAGATTTTTAGATGAAAGAATCCCAGATGTATTCACAATCTCTTCACAAGACTGCAGGTACCTTGAGATTCTTTTGACGTCTTTCTTTTAAATTTCTTCCTATAAATTTTCATAGAGAGAACTCTGAGAGAATGATTCATGATAACAGAAAATTACTTTAATGTGTCCTAACCTGATGTCTTTCGTATCGGGAGTGCCATCCTAAAAATATTCAAGAAACAATAAAAGACAAAATCATCACGCATAAGAGGCCTCAATAACAAAATGCTCTATATCAAATTATCAATACCTTATTACCAGTCCCTTGAGCTGTCTGGCCGCGGTATTCTTTGCGCTGCATGTTGGGCGAACCCGAAACTGGAGTGCTCCTACCGGATGGAGGTCTGGTGGAAAAGATCAAAATGCACTTCTTTATTAGCAGTTTACAGAGAGGTCGAAACTGGACTGCGATGACGAGGTCATTTTACGAGGTATATTGATCATGATAAACCCAATACTCACTTTGTAGATGCCAAAAATGAATGTAGGAAGGTTTCAAGATTTTGGCCTTTCTAAAATTACAAAATTTTAGTCCAGAAAACATATAAATTAAATCCTGTTTTTTTTTAAGCAAAGGTTGGCTTCCTTACCTCCTTCTTCGTTCTTAGTTTTGTCGCAACAGATTTTAGTTTTTTTCCTAAAACAAAGAGCACAATAATATCCACAATCTCATTCGAAATCCTTCACTGTCACTACTATCTGGCTCCGTACCTGCCACTTGACCGACAGTGTCTGGTGTGAACATGTTTGTGAACTCCTTATCAGGAGACAAAAAACGAAACAACAACGCGCTTCCTCTGGTCAAAGGATTGCGAACTAGATCCTAGAAAGAGAAGAATTTTCCTTTATTTTCCAGAATGAATGCGTGAAAATTAATTTGATCTGCCTCCATTATTATCGTGTAATAATAAAAGCCAATTATTTTACCTGCAAATATTGTTTAAATGAATTGCGATATTTTTCGAAAATCTCAGTCGCCTGTTTGGATGACAAAGTTGAGTTTCGTTTTGACGGTAAACCAGCCCCGCCAAAATACCCTGAAATGAAAAAAAATACAGTTGAAACGTCGGCTCAAAGTTTTTCTAACCACAAGAGAAAAACCGAATTCATCTTTTGTGAAAAATCTCTTCAAAAATCGCCCTGTTCTTAAGTTGAAGAATTTTCACGATATTGATGAAAACCTACCATGAAATTCCCTCAGCTTACTGTGCAAGACGTAAAATTCGTGGTGTTGTCTGCAAAAGAAAGAAAAAGAAAAAGCGTTTTTACAAAACAGATATACATTTTAAAACTTGAACCTAGTAGTTAGTGTTTAGCGGTACCACATTGAATGTCAGAGGCTAAGTTTACGAACCTCTTGACGTCCCATCTGTTCATATTTTCATTCGATTCTGACTCACACACAGATATTATATACGATACCATCTAAAAATTTAGTCATTTAAGGTTGAATATACCATATTCCGGTATATTTGACATTAATAAGGTTGAATATACCATATTGTTGTTAATAGTACAAGAAATCTTGGAAATCAAAACATAACATGAAGACACAACAGTAGAGCCTACCTCTTTAGAGCCATGATGGTTGAAAGCTACTTTTGGTATTGAAATAATCCAATCACTCATATCACGTACAGTTAACATTGTGTCTGGTAATTCCAAGGCTTCATCAATATCAATAGGATCAAGCATCGCATCCTGTGTGGTTTGAAATGAGGTTATCTTACAAACTAGTTAAAAAAAATTACATTGACAGTGATCTTCACGAGTTTGCAGGTGAAAAAATCTTACCGAGGCTTCATCAATGATAATGTCAAACGGATCATCTTCAATCATTTTGAAATGTCCTTCTTGAGCTGAACATAAGACAGGATACAGAACTCTGGTGGACAAGTTTATTAAATTTGAAAATACTTGGAGAGGAATACTCCTTCACCTGTAGGCTAGCATACCTTTAGGCAATGATAATTTATCTTTAAAACCTTTCACTAATTTCTTCCCAATTGGTTCACCAAATTTCTTTTTTTGAGTCCTGGAGAAAAAATGACATATGGTTAGAATCCATAACACAGTTTTAGACCTTAGTTGAAGCATACCTTGGAGTTGGTTTCATCGTTGGCTTCTCACTGTCTCTATTACCACAAATCATATTAAAATACTACAAAGAAACAAGAATAGCATTTCAAAAACAGTTTTGGTATCTTACTTAAAAATATCTCTCAAACGAAAATAAAAAAGATCTGTGGTCATTTTTCAACTCTAAAGATGAATTTATGTGAAGGATGGTTTTAAAGTCGGTGAGATGTCAATAAAGGCCAGTTAATAAATTATCCTTACTTCATCACTTTGATGAAATAATGGCAGATATATGTGTTCCAGTTGATCAAAAGCATGTTCATAAGCCCTGTGGGATGGAATATAATTCATTTTTAAAATGATTGCATTTTGGAGAACACATTTTGTGTCATTGTCAAACTAAAATCTTACTTGTAAAGAGGGGTTGCCATTTCTGGTTTTGTTATTTGGTCTGAGGTCGACTGTACAACTGCAATAATATAAATATATTCTTAAATAGTCTGCTCACAAGAAGAATCTATATGTCTGTCGGACTAACTGGTAAACTTAAAATTGTGTACTGGTAAAAAGTTATTAAAATATCTATACTTTACAAATTGCAAATGATGTTGGGGGTAAGATACTCACCTTTCTTAAGACTATCCACAATACTTGGATGAAAAGGTATAAAATCTGGTGCACCCCTCACAAAATATTTGTTGTATATACTCTTTGCCTAAACAGGAGATAAATGTTTGAGATGATTATCTGAAAAATATCAATATATTAAATCAACTCTAATTTACTTTTAAAATAAATTAAAGTCAAACTGATATAAACAAACCTCCTTGAGTAATTCCTTTTTGTCATCTTCAGTTAAATCCGGAACAAGGCTGCGTTTATTAAAATCATCTGAAAAAAAGTACCATAAAAAACCACACCTTGTTTAAACATCCAATATTCACATCTACAAGCAAAACTGGATCAAGAATTTCACTCACCTAATGATAGACAAAATTGTAAAATATTCAATGATGCTTGACTTTTCATGAATTTTATAAAACGAAATAAAACAGATGGAGTGTTGATAATTTGTGGCATTGTTGAATGAAGTGCCTGGAAGAAAATCATTGAAGAGTCATTTAGAACAGGAAATATGACCATGATGTGGTGGGATTACTTGTAAAAGAGTTTTATTTATTAATTCATACATGAAAAGGTGTTCTTCCTCTTGGCTTTGCAAATTCTGCCAACGCTTCCACTTCATCTGTTTGTGGGTCTAAAGGTTCTTCCATCTAGAAAACAAAAAAAATAGAATTCGAACAATACAATAGAACTGCATAAAGATCAGAACAGCCAGGACAATGCTACTTACAGATTCTTCATCTAGTATGACAAGTAGAATCTGATTTACAAAATCCTACAAAAAAGAAAACAATGAACTTTATTAGAGCTAGGAAGCAGTCATGTTTCCTACAGTCAAAATACCTGAAAAATTCCCAAGAGAAAGATGTGTTGAGAAAAAATGAGATGATTTACAAACCGGTTCAACAAGGGTATCTATCCCAGTTGTGAAAACAGCATACACCAACAGCTCTCGAAACAGCCCACAAGTACTTCTGCAAAAAATGCCACACAATCAAGTAACATGGACAAATAAAGTAGAAAATGGTTAAAAAAACAGAAGATTTATAGTTTTGACCAAAGAGACTGTTGAAAAGGGATATTTACCTGGAGCCCATGGCAGGTGAAGGAAGTAAAAATGGTAGCAACGACTCCACCAATTGTCTCTGATACTGTAATTCACTTGATCTACTGTGCAAAGCTATGTGCATATCCTCTCCTAATTCTTCTAAAACTAAAGATGATGTGTCTCTAAAATCACTGTCAGGGTCTGAAACACAATTTAAAAAATATTAGCTTTAAGACAATGGTATATCATGTTTCCAGGGTAATATTTAAAATCATAGCTAAGTCCACTTGACTGAACTTACTTTCCCTTAATTTCCTTCTAACTTTAAGATATGAATCCAAATGTTGTAAAGCATTCTTGATTAGCTTATCCAGCACCAGAGTTGGGATATCAATCTGAAACATCACAAAGAGAATATTGGATGAAATGTCCTCATGATTGTAAAATGCTTAGTATTTCAGGATAACTTGCCTTTTTTAATCTTCGATATATCACTGCAAATATGAATCTTAAGGTAGTTCTAAGTTCATCTACAAATCTTTCATCAGAACTCATTTTTTCCCTGCAATAAAAGCTCCACAGTGAACACAGTTTATTAATCATAAAGTTACAAAGCAACATCTTACCTGTACCAATGGTAGACATAATTTTCTAAAAGTAGATCTAAAAACTAAAAAAAAATGAAAATGAACTAATAATATACAATGAACTAAAATTTATTTGGTCTCAACACTTTATTACATAGTGTTTTGTTTCAAAATTCCCACCTCTTCAATGGCAGTATCAATTGCTTTATTCAATGTAAGATTTCTCCAAGGCTACAAAATAAATATAAACCTACCATTATACACCAGAATTGCTATATATTCTATATCCATTTACCAGATAGTGGCCAGAGAACAGCATTGGTACTAAATACTATTATATATATATGTAGCTGCAACAAAACACACTCTGCAGACTACAGGCAAAATAATGCAGAAGTTCCCTGACATTCTGTGATTCAAAAAGAGCCCACCTCTAAGTCTACATTTGATATTTCTGACCTGAAACAATAAAATGGGTGGTATAAATCAAAATGAGATAATGTTCTTTCAACACAAAATGCAATTTATTTCTGATATTTTTTACCTGTGTCTTTGGCATTTCAACATTTGACATACAGAACAAATATTTAATGCTGTACTCTGGTTATCACCAGGCTAACAGAAAAAAGAGGGAGATTATGCAAGTTATAATCATGAATTTGATTGTGAGAAAATCTGTGAGATAAGATAAAATAATGACAATTACTTTACCCCACCTTTTTACGAGGTTTGTACAAAAACAAGAGGCTGGGAAATAGTGGAACATGGCTAAAATAAAAAGTTAAATGATGTATGAACCCTTGAACAGTGAAAGAGAAAACTATTCTAATAGAATGACTTTCAATTTATTCAGTCCGTGGCAGACACTTTATTAAATATTAGGGGGTGGGGGTATTGCCTTTAACATAAAAAAATCTAAGGAGATTATAGGCATGTTCCTGGTTGTACCAGGTAAATATGTTTATGCAGATGCTTACCATATAACAACATATGCCACAATACTTCCCACTAGAACTGCCCATAAGCATGTTAAGAGACTGAAATACCTAACAAAATTCAATGATACATCATGCATCATTAAATAAATATCAACCTCCATTCTTCATTAAAATCACAAGGAATGGTTGTTCAAAGATGGTTGGTTTAAATTCATTTTATTTTCAATAGTTATGTTTATAATATTTACTTTCAACTGTTCAGTCTTCATTAGGTATCATTATCAATTATCAAATATTAAAAATATGATACACAGAAGAATGGATCTTTGGACATCATTAGTAGGTTTGTACAGTTTCTACAATAGCCCGTACTTTTACACAAGACTATGTACAACTTGAACAAGCAAAAAGAGCAAAATTTCTATTGATACATGACATTCAAAAGTTCAAAACACTGACAAGACTATTAAATTGTTGAGAAACATTTCAAACCTACCTGAACAACAGGCAGCTGAGGATCAACAGCGTGAAGAAAGATCCAATAATTACAGGCTGTATGCCTAAAACCTCGCGAACTATTTCTTCTTTCTCTTTGTTTTGCCTACTGGCTGAAAAGCGGAATTCCACATTCTCCGCCATCTTGAATTTGACCGAACTGGGAGCGCTGGAGACCTGGAAACGAAGAGGAAGAAGAAGCAGCCTGGGAGAGTTTCAAACGTGCAATAATAATGTAAACAGATATTACAATCAAGTTTGTAAACTATGTATAAAAAGCAAGTCAACGATGATACGAAGCATGCTTTTTCGTGAGGGGTGTGACTTGTCGCCCATAGCATCAGTTACCAGACTCTGGTACATCTTATCCCAGCCCCCAACTAATCCATCGCTTGCCCTTGCCCTCCTCAGTTCCCCCACAACCCACAGTTGTTCCCTATACAGATGTAAGATACCAAATAACTCCCACTTAAAAGACCCTACCCTCCTCAATAACCCCCCTCTTTAATGTTAATATTGATACAAAACGTCTAGAATCACCATTGTTTGTGATTGTTACTTTTTATTTATTTTCCCCGTTATACACACAAAAAGCTGATAAAGTATATCCATATGACGAAATATTTCACGAAAAACATAAGTGCAGTTTTAGAGAACCGCGTGCTTAAATACATGCTTAAGAATAAAGACACGGAAGTTTTAAACGATATTACTAAAACAGGTTTATGAAGAGTATAATGTATATTATATAACGTTGTTTCATGACATGTATAAAATAAAAAGGATTACAGGGCTTTTAGCGTCCAACAGCTGTGAGTTCGCGAGCCATTTGGCAAGAGACACATGGAGAGCAACAGCTGACACACAAAGCATCATTGCAGAGCGTACCCTGAAAATAATTCACAAAAGTAAAATATTTCAGCTATGATTGAAAAGTGTTTTGTAAACTTGCGAAACGGAATTGTTACGGAAATGAAATTCTTTCAAATGATTCCATGAGGTAGAAAGTTAAATATTTTCATTCAACTTTCGAGTCTAATACTGTTCAGAGCCGGAGGTCGTATGAAAAGGTAATTAACTCTTTGTCTAGCTAGTAACAGTATTTAGCTTTAAAACGTAGTAAAGAATTTTATACAACAGTGATTAAAACTGAAGATGATGATATTGAAGAAGAGACAAACCTGAATGCCGTTTTCAGTCCTCAATTTGACTCGCATCGCCAGCAGTGCTCCAGGGCAACACAGCGGGAAACAGCATCCTTCACCCATACGTTGTGAAAGACTTATCATAAAACAACATGGACAACACCAGCCAAACAAACCTAAAACGACATTAATTCATTTTCGTCAAGAGCGTCTTTTACACGTCACTGTTTCCACAGGCGACAAATTTTAAGCTTACAATCTGAACTAGCTATGAAGTTTCCTAGGCTATGCCTATGGAAGTTCATCTAACTTACATGACTTGATATCTTCAAAACATCCGAAAACACCTGACGACCAATCGCGTGGAGCAGCACCAGGCTGGCTTGTTACCACTGTTGTAACTTGAGTTGCCATTGTCGTTCAAATAAACTGTATATAGTGTCATAAAAAGAAGACAACTTCGTTTAACAGAGACAGAGTATGTTGACTATGTTGAAATGTTTTGTAAGCATGGAAACTTTAAACTTTGAACAAATAAAATGCAAATTGAATATTAATGTGAAAAGAAAACAGTATTCAAAAAAAATTTTAGTTGCCAGGCGCTGAGCCGGGACAAACCAATTAAATACTTTGAAATTTCTATTAACAGGCGGCCAGAATCGATACAATTTCATCAGTTTCGTAGTCTCATCATGAACGTTACACTTTTCTTCACAATGCGAGCAAATGCGTTTAATTGCGTCCAAGGACAAGGTATAATAATATCACTCTATAATTTCATTTATCGAACAAAACTATCTGACAGCCATTCTATTGAACCTAGAGATCCTCTGATTTGTACGCCATTTACTTGCCTTTTTTAACGGAAGATAAAAAATAGGATTATAAGACGTTTGCCACTGTCAATAATACCGGTTCGGGCATGAACGAAATGTGAATATTGTATGGCCTATGGCCTATGGGTACCCGCTAGCGAGTTAGTGAAAATGCATTACAAAATACAAAATTGTCTTTGTAAAAATTTACGGCAAATTTCAGGCAATTAGTTAAACAGTGAACTTGTTTCTTCACCGACTGTGAGCACTGAGCAGAGCATTTTTTGGCCAGACAGGTACCTACAGTTTGAAACATCTGTGCAGACGTGAACTCATTAGGTTTTTTAACCGTTAGAAGAGCGTTTTTAACAGGATTTTTTAAACGCGGGAATAAAGAAACTTAAAGGGTGCACATTGCTTTAAGAAAACGCATTCCCTTATTGCACATTTTACGTCTAAAACGGCTGTAAAACAGAAATATCGTACACAACAGTAACACGATATCGTAAGTACCCGACATAATCGCTAACAAATATTTGCCGTTTGCACGAAAAATAGACTTCGGCGCGCAGCTCCAGAAGCAAAGGGTATTCGACTTAAAGGTTTTACTAAGCATATAAATGTTATATTGTTGGTTGCCCACTTAAAATTATATTAAAATGTTGATCTATTATCCCGATCAAACAAAGCAGGGTGTGCATTTATTAAATATGCCAGTTTTCAAAGTGGGAAAATTTTAAATTCTCGCAACCGTCCACTATTTCTTTTTTCTATTTCACTTCAAGGTTCCTCGTTAGGTTAAATATTAAAAGCTACCAACCTTGTCTAGACTTGTTCGAGTCTGTACTGGTCCAAAAAGCGAAGTTTTGTGCCAATAAAATTGATGCGAACCTTGAGCTTCTCTGCAACCGGTATTGATTTTCGTCAAAATCCGTTGCTAGGCAACCCTATAAATACGTAAATACAAATTAACACATGCCAATTTTGTTATGCTGAAGAAGAAAAGATCATGAAACACACCTGTCATAGTCTGGGATGATAGTATTGTAAAAGTATCTCCAATTATTGCCCCGTACATCCATGCTACCAAAAGGTCACCAGTTAAACGTCTTGGTAGAACCACAGTTAATGAAACTGGCTGTCAGACAAATTGATTGCTGAACGAGCCATACAAATATGTTATTATGTTGTGTTTGATCAGTTAACCTCACGCATCCATTTTCAGCCGTTATTGAATATCAAAAAATTCATTTAATAGTTTTACCTGAATAAAGGCATGATACTAATTTAGGAAATCCAGTGAGTAACTTTTTATTTCGGCGGGCTATATAAAAACTAACATGAAGGATTACACTTAAAGTCTCAAAGATATATATAGATTTGAGTACTGTTACTATAGGATAGAAAAAGATCGTAAATAATTTAACACTTACATGTGCTTGAAGTTAATCCAAACATACTAAAAACTACAACGATATAAGTTTGTTTTTAAATGAAATCTAAATTGAAACTGAGCAACCGGAGGAAAGTATACTCTATTGGTTTTGTACTTAATACTAAATATTTATTTTTTGTTCACTTCGTCTTCGGTGAAACCTTAAAAAAACCCCGGCTACTCTTTGTCTGGCCTCTCAACCTCTCTGTCTTGGGTGCTCCTGTCATAATCTTTGAGGATCATTGAGGCACACAAGCCCCTCCACCGCGTCAAGGTGGTTGCCGAAGGAGGGGAGAGGCCTTCTTAATCTACGATGATCTTGATAAAAATCACGTCATCTTTGATATACTGACGATTATCCAAATGATCAATCGGCATAAACAATGGGGAACCACTGGCGATGTTCATATCAGACCTTGGGCGTTGAAAAGAGGAACTTTGGGGGTCAGAATGAAACGCATCGACCATGTGATCACCGTTACCTTGATCCAAGAGCATCATGGTAATCTTCTTTTGAAACGGCCAGGTTTGAAGGGCGTCATAATCACCTTTTAAGAAACGTTCAATGTTTTAGTAAATGTTAGAAGTGGTGATCTCAATGTGAGAGTAATAATATTTCTGTTTCCAGTGATATGAATGAAAAATATTTCGATTCACGTAGTTCAACTCACCTTTCATGACCACAAAGAACAAGGACAAATGCGATCCTTTTCCAAATCCATCTCCGTTCATATAGATCTTTGCACACATTTTATACCCGTACTGAGCGCTGTAGAAATGTGGACTATACAAGGCCGTCTTCACTCCATTGATAGCATCCTGACGTTTTCTTTGATATCCTTCAATCTTCCACAGTAAGGTACCATTGTAACTATGGATACGTTGTTGTGCACTTGGTCCTCGTTGCGATTCCAAGTCGGTGATTTTTACTGTATTCAGAGCAAGAGCTTCATCGACTTGATCAGCTCTGCTTCGAAAACGTTCAAAATGTAAAGATTTCTCCCTCAATTCTCGTTCCAATGTTATAAGTCGTTCACGTAAATTCCCTGATTCAGTGGACAGATCCCGAACTTTCCCCACCAGCTCATGAAAATCCCTTTCTATCCCTGCATCACCCTGACCGTTTGACTCCAAACCTTCAACTCGTCTTTCAAGACCAGTCACTTTCTCGACAAGCAGGACAAATTTTTCAGCGACGCCAGAACGAACCTCGGTGATGTCGCTTCGTATTTTCTGCATGATACCGGTGAATTCCGGACGGGGAATATAGTCTTTGAGTTGGGAAGCAAAAGTAAATACGAACTGCAGTAGAAGACGAACATGATCGATGATCCTGTTGCTCATATGTTGCTCTAACTCTTTCCGTTTCACAATCTGCAAATTATAAATATTTTATGTAAGAAATTGATTGATAGTACCCATAAATTTTTTATTTTTACAATACACATTTGAAGAAATCTTAAAGAATTCTTTATCACATGTGTGTGAATGTGGTTGTTTGGGTATTTTCAATTGTGCAGTGGGAGGATAGAATAGATTAATTACCTGAAAATACAACAAAAATTTTGATGACTCGAGCAAAGTTCCTCGCTTTGAGCCGAGGAAATATATTTTGTCGATATGGAATCCGGCTATCTTGCACGAGATAGTCCAAAACTTAGTGTATTATCATTATTGCAAATTATTCATTCAAAACAAATCGCATTCATGCATAAATACAAACAGAATCATGAGGGCAAATATGCAATGAACTTAGAAGAAAATCAGCAAACTATTACCTCCTGATTACAGCCCACAGCCTTGAAAATACACTCTCCCGGAATTTCATCACAAACCAACTTTTTGTGTTCTTCAAGGTCTCTTCGTAGAACTTTTTGTTTACAATATTTGCAAGTGACAGGTGCAGCTTCACAGCTCGTAGCGACGTGTTCCTGCAGGGAGGATGAGTTTGGCTTATCATGAGTTCGAAGAAAAAACTACGCAACCAGTTCCCTGAATTTGCTTCATACCAGTTGCTTGTCGCAAGAAAAACAGCCGTAATCGTTGGGTAAATTTCCCAAGGACCAAGACATGGGCTTATAATCATTGTGAATATTTTACCTCAGGTATGCAATGAGAATATGACCGCGCTTCAGTAACCAACTGTCTGGTACGTTCCTCATGTATATTTAAAACTGAGTGTTAATTTCGCTGCAGTTGCTTAGTTACCTTCATCGAGGCAAATGCAACATCTTTACGACAATATTGACAGCTAGCACTCCGATATTCACATTCCTTCTTCAAATGTTCACCCAAGTGAGAGCGTTTGATTTTATTCTTGCACTGGGAATGGACACATTGTATAATTGCATGTTCGCAGACCTGAGAATGGATCTAAATAAAAAAAATCATAATCGATTTTATATAGCCAGGCTGTTAGTTAGGAATGGAAAATATTAAAAACTGGCAGTTCTACAGATATCTTGGAATCAATCTTTCATCTCAAGTTATAAACTTCAAGATTGCAGCTATTAAATTGCGCCATTCTGTAGTACTATTTACAAACACAGCTTTCTCCATTTCTCTAGCCGCACGCTCACCTCTAGTTTATCGTAGCTAGAAGTCCACGTGCAATCGGGATTTGCACAATGTATTTCAAGACTATTAAGCTCACGTTTTGTGAAAGCATCAGAAAATGCCTAAAAAAGAAAATAAAGGCGTTATCATCACGATTGTGCCCAGGCGAAGCGCTTCAGATTCCGAAACTTTGAAAAGCAGCACGCACTTTTTCTTTACTTAGTTCTTCACCATCTTCAGGACATCTTGGAGTTGAACTCCTGAGAAAGAATTATTTTTTTAGAAAAAACCTGCCGTATTACATAAAGTAACCCATTTCATCTTCACGTTTCACCGTCGTCATTTCATGAACATAATGATTTTCAAGCGATAATATGACGACAGTTGCTAAAATATACAACTTTCTCGTGATGTCATTTCACTTGTCATGGTACCATGATAAGAACAATTTTCATCAAATCGCCTTACCCAAGCAAGGTTTCAAAACACGACAGACACATGAGATGACCACAGATGGTCTGCACTGGTTCGAACAACAGGAAATGACAAATAATGCAGATGAACTTCGAGTCAATTCTCTTTCGGTCTCCGTCCGTAATTTTCGTCCCAGTCATTCTAGAAATATGAAATTGTTTCATATCTAGTAACAATAATTTGATTATATTTCTGAGCTAGGTATTAAATACAATCAGGCAAACATTTGCAGAGTAAGTTAGAGGCGTAGCCAGGATTTTAGGGAAGGAGGGGGCCAGCAGTGTGACTCGAGACAAGATTCATGCTAAATATTTCCTGGGAAAGCCCTAGCTAAGCCTCTAATTTTGTATAAAAAGGTAATATTCAAGAGGTGTGGCTTTCGGTTAACAATACACAATAATAGATTGACTTGGTACATCAGCTAATACAATACATCCATACTTACAGCAGATACATTGAAACCCCGTAGTGGAAAGATGTTCCCGTCTGAGATGATCACGGGTCATCTCACATATTTCATTCTAATAAGTTCTAACTAGTCCTATTCGATTTCAAAATTGCATGTTAGCTAAGATTGTTCAGAAAGATTGTTCGTACATTTCCCATGGAATTGGAATCTCCTGCGTTGATACTGTATAACCATGCAACGATAACCAGCGACAGCGTGTCTACCAGTGGAAACTACCATGTTCATCGTATCATGGCCTTGAGGCTAAGTCCATATCAGTCATTAAACTAACCATATTTTTTCCTCTTACTTGTTTCAAAAGAAAGAAAACGTCCACTGGCGTGTTTTCGTAGGTTTCTGTCGCTGCGTTTGATGATAACTGGTGAAACATGACTGGTGAAACATAAGTTATTCATAAGTGAATGGGGATATAATAAAAAAGACACTAATAACATATTTTTCAAAGACATAGATTTTGGCATAACTCAAGCATGCTTGGGAGGAATTAATCGGTCTTTAAAAACATCTTGGTCATCTTTCTTTCGCAATTTTTGCCAAAACATGCAGAATGCCATTCATAGCCTAAATAGCATAAACAAGATTTTCGCCCGAGGTAAAATTTGCAAACCCAAGCTGAAAATTCAGAGGAAATACTTGTATGGAATAATATGAAGGTTTCTCTTTCATTGCTTCAACGAGCCTCTTCCAAGTCAACTTTTAAAATTCAATTGTTTGGCCCATATAAAATCGTCAGCTCAGCAATTTCTCCTGTGCAAGAGGGGTTTCCCCTACTAAGATTCAGGCTCTCCAAATTTTCGTCGTTCTTCCATCTTCACAAATGTTTGCGAGAAAATATTAAATAAAAAGTTGCTTACATATCGATGCTTCGTTGTAATCAAGTTTCTACAATGTATGACAACTTTCCTTAATTAACGTCCTTCGCTCTCCAAGCTGCAGCATTGAACTGGTCATGACTTGCTTGTGCAGGGATTAATATTGTTGACGAAATACGGAGAGAAGGCCTGGGTACCGGGAACTATGTTGATATTTATCAGAGAACAAAATCTAGTTTTTATTTTGATATTCTCAGAGAACAAAACGTGAAAAATGTTCAAAGTCTATGTACGCTTTCTACCTGAACAAGAAAACTTGCACTTAATTCTGTTCTGTGAGACGGATTATGTTTCATTACTACGTCATAAAAGAATTAATTATATTCTATTGTCGATGAAAAACGCTGACTTGCTTTTTAGTTTGCCCAGGGCACAGTGTAAACCAGCTCCTTCCTTTTACAGGTTCAAGGTTTACTTTTTGCAAATTTTTATTACACTCGAGTCCTGCTTTGTACAAGTGGCTGAAGATAAATTCTGGATAAAATTTGCCTCCAAAAGTGTTGAATATTAACCATTACTTGTTAGGTGGAAAGGAAACTTAAAATATAATTAAAGATGGATGGACAAATGATTGCCAAAAATGACTAACCAGTTAACTTCTTTAAGGTTCTTTAATTCAGGAGTATTAGGTCAATGTTGCAACACAGCCACAACTCTTCCCTTGTCAGCATGGGATTCTCAAAAGCAGAATGTCAAGGCATATTTACAATATTCATATAAAGATGAACAATACGTCCACAACTTTGCCCAAGGAAAAGCAGACCAATTGAGGGCATTGCGCCTGAATATACTTGCTTCCATGGGAATACAAATTGCCTGCAAGCTTCCTCGTTGTTTCACCAGCGGCGAAGATGGTAATGACAATTTTTTCTTGTATGTGGTACTTCCAACAACTTGCCACACTGGTGAGCAAAATGTGGACAAGATGCACTCTATGCAACCCTGCCAGCAGATACAGATTATTCCTTCTCCAAGATTCAGGAAAAATTCCAAGAAAATTTGATGCCAAAGATAAGCCAACAGAGCTGTAACCCCACTGATGTTTGGATATCAAGGATATTTCAGTCGTGGCAACTCAAATCCTTGCAAAAATACCTAACCTTCTGTCCTATATAAAATTCTGCTAACATTTGCAATCTGAACATTTATATTATCTCAGAAGCAATATTTGATACTTTGTTAGATATTTCCCTTCTTTTTTCGCACTAGTGGTAATATGCCAAATTTAGCCCATCAGACAAGAGAATCAAGCGGCGTTATGACTTGGAATATTTTCTTACCAGACCTTCGTGCAATAAAAGTATGCAAGTATTGAATTGTATATACGAAGTATGTGTCGTGAACTAAATGGTTGAATGTGTTAACAAAGTGAATAATAGGTCTATATACTCTATAATATAAGATTTCATTCGAAAATCTCCCGTTTGCCGCCAAATCGTCGTCAAGTAGGGACAATGTATCGATTGCATGGCTAAAATTGGCTACACCTCGTCGATTTTACTACGATTTTAAAACAAAATCGTGATATAATGTATCAGCCCAATATCTTTGAAAACAATAATTTAGTTCTACTAAAGCATGCAATGACATAAAAGGAAATAAAGGAATTTAGGTTTATATTAAGTAAACAAAATCTCGTTGTAGGTAATTAAACCCAGACTTCACTATTTCACATGCACCATTTGAAGCTCGCCTGACCTCGGACTAATAACCAAATAACATAAACATAATATAACAAACATAAACAATCTGATTTGCTCCTTACTTTTTGCATAAATTCTTTGTGAGATGGGAAATATTTTACCAGCAATATCCAGCAATATCTTCGCTTCGGTTAAATTTTGGCGCCAACGTTTTGACCTTTGACCAGGCACCAGGCCACACCAGGCTTCCTGGTTTTACTGATGACAAATTCTGGCTTTTCTCATTCCTTACAAACCATCTTTTATAAAACACGAGCATCACTCAGAACAAGTAGGAATAAAAATGTTTCCTACAACGAATACAAATCACAACAAAGTAAATTTGGAAGAGAATTTTCGCAAAGAATCTCGTGATGAGCAACATACCAAATAATAATTATAACACTTAGGATCACCCAGGCCACATATCGCTTTGTAAGTTAGCAAAGACATTTATTGCTTACAAAAAAGGTAGTACTCATAATATGACATCATATCCGTACTACAAAATAAACTTGGCACTAATTAAAAATACGTTCTTTGCGAGGAAAACATGTTTATATATGCATAGTTGCGAAAGAAATGCCAGAGTTAGGAGGAGGAACAAAGACTTTATCGGCCAAGGATATCCAACTCTCTGGACATTTGACAAAGAGCACATGGACCACAGCATTCAACAACGATCGCATCATTACACAAATCACCCTAAAAAGAGAAACGGAATGGTCACTTTGTTGGGTAAGTAAGTTGTCCCAACTACTTGCCTCCAAAGCATGCAACAAACAGATCCCTGACGAATATTAAAGAGAATTTCAAATGCAGAAGATCGCTGGACTACTTTGATGGCTATGGTCATGGGGAATATTAATCTCAATTCCGGGAACATCAATTTCACGGCTACCCCTGAAGACCCCTGGGTTTAGGATACGATATATATATATACCTGGATGTTCTGTTCTCCTCGCAACTTAGCTCGCATGGCCAGCAGAGCTCCTGGACAGCAGAGCGGGAACAAACAGCTTTCTCCCATACGTGTGGCAACTTGAATTGCAAGACAGCAACTGCAACAACATCCACAAAGACCTGAAAGATAGATTAGAGGGCGTTAATGCGTTGTACGTTTGTACCAAGGGTAGATAGTGTATTCAAAAGATAGTTAATATTCGTATATTTCGTGTACATACAGGTCTTTATGTCATCAAAACACGAGAAAAGACTACTGTTCCAATTTCGCAGACCACCAGGTTGGGTTGTGACCGTGACAGTTTGAGTAGAGAACTGTGTTGCCATATCTAAAAAACAAGCAGCTACAGTATCGATTTGTTACCCGAAATATTACCAGAAATAAACATGTTTAGATATATTTTTGTGCGTCATTGCTGTCTTCTTATGTTAGGTTTAAGAAAAAGGTTTTGTGACTGTACTCCAAATAATTATATATGCGCTATGACTATCTACGCATTCACAACTTATCCACTTCTAAGGTCTATTAAAGGCAAGAAACTGCACACAGTCACAAAATCGCAGCAGGAACCGTGTGAAATGGCCAACGTATAAACAACAATCACGGCTGCCTTGTGTATAGTGAATTTGGGAGTTAACCAGGTCCATTATCTTTTTCGCGATGCATAATGCATACCTTTCATGTAAATACAACAAATTACACAAATTGCTGAAATTCGAACAACTTGTAATTGGTTTTCTAATTGCAATTTAGGTAGTGCTTTCGAACTGTGTCTGTGATAATTTACTAATTTTCTCAGTTCACAATGTAGGTAAATTCAGGTGATGAAGTTACTTCAAAGGTATTCGCCTCGATATGTAACATCTGCTACGAAACAAAGTGTTTTGATGCATCTTTCAACACACAGGCGTGCAATATCACGCTGGTTTATGAATTTAAAGAAAAAACAAAATAAATCATTTAAAGTGCATATCGTAAATAATGCAATACGTTGAATTGTATTTCGCTTAGCACATTAAAATTTAAGACCCCAATATATAGTCAGCGTTGCAGGCTAAGCGGCAGTCTACTTTTTACGAAATGAAAGTTGCAAATTATTACACGGTTGCAAATTATTACACGGTCGCAATTTGAGCAGCCAAAGTTGAAACGCTGTATATAAAAATCCCTAATCGTAATTAACAAACCAATCTAATGATATTCGATAATAGATATTTTAAAACTGACAATTCTTACTTCGCATGTACTTCTAGTGATATATTTGAAAGCGTATACAGAAGAATACTTGAAGACAAAAAATCACTTGTAGAAAATTAATCGCTGGTAATATCTACACTTGATCGTAACTGAGATTATTGAAACCTGTGGCAGCAGGTATTCCCATCTTCTAGGTACAACCTAGCATCTCGTAATTTTACAATACATTAGGCAATATTATACAGCTTTCAAGCAAGTCACAGCTGTGTATTGGCAACAGAAACAGACGTGTTTGTTTTGCCAGTAATACGACGCCTCAGTATTACAACACACTAAATGCGTACTCACACAACATATATTATTTTACCCAATTTTAGAAACCTCGCTATCTTTCCAGGCGTTAAACAAGAAGATTTCGCTTCCTTAGTTTATTATATTTTTGTCGCACAAATAACAGACCATCTCGTCGTCTCGAACAATTTTAGAAAGGAAAAGCATACTTGGGCCGAAGCAGAGCCGCACTTGACCCACGCTAGAAAGATCAATTCAAACAATCGAAACAGAAAATTACCACAAACATGTTAAATGAAATATCTTACCTCCAAAAGGAAGAACAATTCAGATATTTTTCTAGCTTTTTTAAACAGAAGCGCTCAAGCAACAACTCTTCACTCTTGACGAATGAATGCCAACGCCTATTAAATGGTTAACGATTTTCCTTATATGGAAACTAAATTAACATTTGCAATTCCAAACAACAATAATTGCATATTTTATAATAATTATAATCATGGTAAGGACCATCAGACCATGAGAAAACGTTTCGTTGTGACTACATATATAAGCCATAAGGAGCTCAATTTTTAAAAGGCTCAAGGCGGAGATGTCGTAGTTTTTAGAAACAAGAACAAGAAAACGTAACATCTTGCAATTCTAACATCAATTTTACCTTCGCATCACTTGAGTTCAGCTCATAATCATATTGATAGCCTTCTCCAGTCTCCACTCAACTTTTCTAAAAATAAATATCGTATTCCTTTGGAATAATTCTCTTCTTGTTATGAAAATTTGTGTCAGGAATTCAGAAGATAAGCCTTTGGTTACATTTGAATTTTAATGTTCCATTTTAAAACTTCAAGCCTGAGTAACTTAATTATCCACTTGAACTCAAATGACAATTACCCCTTTTAACAATGGCTATCGCTGAATTAATAATAAATACATTGCAGATGCATTTGAACATAAGTGGTACATTTAAGTGCTAATTTTTCATATTGTTTTCTTTACGTGTTCTTTATTTTTAGCAACTTGCAATACAAGTTGCCAGGAGTTGCTCAAACTATGATTTTAATTCAGTCAAACTGGTTTTTTCCACACAACTAGTCAACAACGAATGACAAGCCAGGCTGTCAAATGAGGTTAACATTGTAACTATCTTATCTGTCTGTAACACTCTGAACCACTTCTTTTGTAGTCCTGTTACTTTCATCATCACTTTCCTCTCCACATTCTGCACTATTTTCTTCATACAACTCACTTTCCTCTTCACTGAAACAACAAAGTCTGAGGTGGTATTTTGCAATACATTGTAGACACTTCTCTATATACTGCTGAGAAATATTCATTCCTTGTCATAAGAAAATAATCTCTAAAACATGATAATTAATTTGGATTCTGAACCAGCAAAGCACAGCAGGTATTAATTAACAGTTTATTATATTCTCACCTGGAGGATGATTCAATGTCAACAAAATTCCTATTTGGATTCCAGTGTTCTTTGGAGTCATCAATTGTAGTCATATCATAACCTGTTACAACATATATCATATGAGAAGTTAAACATTTGAGTCAGAGCTAGTCAATTTTTCATAGTTTTCTATACTAATACATAATTTTACAACCCATACTGTAACATTGTGAAGAAATGAAGATATATACGATCACACACTGATACGATTAATATATTCTTACTATTGCCTTCCTTTTGCTTATTTCTTAAACCTTCTATCCACTTGTTTTGAGCTTCAACTACCTCCCCACTGTTTTTGCATGCAGAATAAATATCCAGCAATTCCCTAAAGAAAAAAAAGCTTGCATTTACCTATCTCAATTAAATATAACTTCATTATTGAATCAGGTACCTGTACATTACAAAAAAAGAGATTCATTAACTTTATACCTGTTAAGATCATAAAATCCTTTACCCCATTTGAAGCACTTAAGTATTTCAGAACCAAGATCTTTGAATCCTGCCAAAAATACCACAAATAATCTCATATTGACCTAGCTCCTGCTGATACTTTTATTAATACTTTATTGACATGTTTATCTCCAACAGCATGGGAATAATTTGAAAATTTTTAAATAATTTCTAATCATTCCACTCACCAAAGTGAATAAACTAAGACATAATGATGATATTTCCCAGCGCAAGTAATCCAGGATCACTGCAAGTGATATTTTATGAATATTATGGGTTTTCAAGTTACCTGTTATGTACAATGTTGCTGCATATGCTTCAACGCATGACAGCCGACATGGATGACCATAATTGATGGGATTAGCAGCAACTAAATACGGCAACAACCTAGCATGTCCACCTTTCATTTTACCAAATGGAGTATCATCAATTTTTGCCCATGAACAGTCAACTACAGCAACACCTGATTGTACCACAATGTCTACATCCTCTGCAGACAAACATTTCTGTCCCAGAGGACTAAGAATTATACCATGAGCTTTCTGGGAGAGCTTTAATGATCTTACAAAACCAAGTCTTTCAAGCTTACGTCCTGAACATTTCTTCGGATCACAGTGTCCTAGATCCTTTAGAAATATTGCATGTCATTCATCATGGAAATCTACTTTTACCCTACTCTGGCGATCCACTTAGATTGCACTCAGGCTTTAGGACTTGAGCAATCCATTATAATTATTAAGCTATTATAGGCTTATAGCATTAATACTAACTGTATATATCTTAAATATATGAAATTTGAAGTGCAATAAAATTGAGTTATTAATGATGAAACTAACCCACATTAACAAAGGGAAAGGAAGACCTCGTCCAAAATCTTTCTTTTTTTCATCTGTTTGCTCTGAAAGAAATTTGAAGTTCAACTTCACATGGCATACTGCATGCATACATATGAAAATTATATAGAAAATGAGATCTTAAAAACAGAATTATGAATAATTACCTTCATCCAATGTCAGTTTATCTAAAGCAGAACAACATTCCTCGCTCTCCCACTTTTTTCTGTTTTTCCATCCACCTTTCTTTCCCTTCTTTTCCCATTTTCCATTTCTGATCATTTTAAAAACTAATACTTCATGTTGTAGTGGGTTTTGAAAGTACTATGACGATTGACGATATATATCCCGTGATATCACTGGAGTATTATGATATCTGATATCTATGATTTAATGATGTTTTCCTCCCAAGAATATATTGACAACAAGACAGGAAGAGATGATTTGAACAGATTTCAATACCTACAAGCTTTGGTGACAGAATTTCAAGATACTTTGAGTGATGGTACTTGCTAGCCATGGCATCACTTTGGCATGGACAAATTTTTCCTTGGGGAGGGGGGGATTGCTACCGAGAGGGTATTCAGGGTATCCAGTGAGAGGTGGGTGGATATAATTGCCTATCATCAGCAGACAGATTTTCATTTCTAGATGCCAAGTATCAAGTGTTGGCTAACCTTGCCAACTTTGCCTATGATCCAATAAACTACCCTCATCTTAAGAAGCTTAATGTAGCTGAGTTATTTTTGGGTAAGTTAAAGAAACTGCGAGAGACCTTCTATAATTACACCATTTACATTGTTATAATCCCACAATACTATTGAACTATACTAGGTCCAGACTTTCTCATAATGCAATAAACATATAATATAGATATGCTGGTAATATAGATATGCTGGTAATTTAGATATGCTTAGTGAAGAAAATGAAAAATATGTTGAATTTGGAATTAGTGGACTTTGTAACTATTGCCTTGGTAAAGTTGTTATTATTTTGAAACCGGTTTCATTTTTGCTTTTTCTAGAATTTACTGCATGCTTGTATAATATAAGTGAGTTTCTTTTAATTAAAACTTAGATCCAGACTGTAGGAATGCTATATTAGAAAATGATGGAATACAAGAGATTCTTAATTGTTTATCCAGGTATAACTTTCTTAACAAAATCAAAAGGCAAATTGTGGCAATTTAATAATAACACTTCTGTGTTGTGATTTAGCTCAAATGAGGAGACTGTTCTTTCTGCCATCACCACTCTGATATATCTCAAGAACAATCAAACCAGTGAAGGTGCTTTATTCGATCATTGAGAAATGCATGAAAAGGTTCAGTTTATCAATGGCATTGGTAATCTTGCTTGGAAAATTTTGTGATTTCTATTCAATTTTTACAGAACTTTCATCTGAAGCAGTTATTGAGTGTATGATCACATATTCCACTTCAACAAACACAAGATTAGCTAACCTTGCTAAAATATATCTACAGGTATGATACTATGTATTTTCCCATCCATTTTATCATGTATATCTGCAGTAAGGACTTAAGGCTGGTATCAAGCTTGTCTGCTATATTTACTTGCAATGTGACAAAGTGCTTATTGCTCATGCAGACAATGGTTTAAAATGTAAGCTAGGCACTGCGTTATTTGCATTGACACCTACAATTCCTTCATGTGTTTTATTTTCTAGAATTTTAGGAAAACAACATGAAAATGTGGAAATGTGCCCCAGTGTGGGCAGCTATAACATTTTATATCACATCAACTGTTGTTGAACCTATTTAGGAACAGACACAGCAGTTACAATGCTTTTAAAGAAGACAAATTAAGCATATTGTTATGAATGAACTAAGCAGTGCTCTTGTAAATTCTCTTCTTTTTATGAATAAAAATTATATTTACAAAACAGGGTTGAGACTCTGGGAAATTCACCTATATCACAGATTATAGCTAATCTGTGCCTATATGGAGGGCACAATTTTAGTGAAGGAAATAATTAACCAATCAAATGCCTGATTTAGTAATCATAACATGACGTAAAGCAAGATATTACCATTTGCAAGCGACCGTTCGGCGCAAACGTTTTCACGCGTTTTCTTACGTTTCAAACGTGCACGTTAGGCAAACCAAACATACATGCTGAAACGTATAAACTAATTAGTTTAGACTGTGAGTTGACATTGTTTGACATAATATAGTATGTTACCAAGGCAACGTATATCACGAAAACAAGATGGAAGACAAAGATAGGAGTTTGATGCCAAAAAGGTTTTACAAAGTTTTTTGAGTTTTGTATTCCAAATATGCCGCCGAAGAAGAAAGGAAAGGCGAAGAAGGGCAATGCCAACGCCGAAGGTGACGACGACAGGGCTGATTCAAAGCCGACAGAGCGAGAAATATTGTTATCACAACAGTTAGTACAAAGGTTTTTGAAGTCGCAAAATTAAACTAGACGCATCACGCATAAGATGTACTAACGCTACGATAGTTGTGGACAAACGTATAGACGATAAATGTTATTTGAGAACATACGAAACAAATTCGGTTCTTTAGAGTCAGTCCGACAAATAAGTTTAAATTTAATGTTCCAAGCAAAATTGATGCTTGAACTGAGAGATTTAAATTGTTTATTAAACTGGATATTTAGACTTGAAGCAATAACTGAAGAATTAAAGGAGGTGAAGAGAAATGTTGATGAACTGTATCCTTTTCAAGATTCTCTTAACTTTCTGAAGGTTTTTATATTTCTTGCCTCTGACTGGTACGCTTCACTTTGTCATGCTGCTGCTCTTCAAAGATTTTCTCTTTAACAAATACTTGCATGCAGTCGAAAAGAAAATGAATGGCTGCAGGAGGAAGCACAGAACACAAGACGAGAAAGTGTATGTTTACCAGTTGACTATGCTATAGAGATGATAGTGCCTATTCAAACCTTTTGTTGTAGCCATCAACACAGAAGCGTGTAGTCCCACCATGGTGGTTACACCTGACAATAATACCTGTCATTTTATGATCCACACAGCACGAGTACATGGCTTACATGTCAAGAAAGACACAGAAAAGACAATCAGCAATTGTATCGCTCAATGATAATAATCAAAGTGAACTAAGCAAAATTCAAAAACAAAAGGAGGAAATGATTGCATATTATGAACAGCTGAAAAATGGTAAGAGAAGCAGATACTGAAAGAATCCTATTAAACTGGGAATCCAGTTTAGTTAAATATTCATCTTTGTAGTGTTGACATCCTAAATTTCCATGTAGAGCTAAAAGACCAGATGCTTGAGAAAGAAACAGAATTGTCAACAGCCAAAAAAGAGCTCACAGAACTTGAACAATATCAGGTTGGCCACTCCTAAATTAGAACCATGATCTCCTATTAGTTGCCATGCATTTTTTTTAGAGCAGCCAGATGATCTTTCTTCAGCAACTAATGTCACAATTGTGTGTTTCTCAAGCATCTACAACACGATCAAGAAGCTGAAATTAAATCATTGGAGGATGAAGTTCAACAGATGCGTGCAAAACATTCAGAATCCATTCAAAAACTCAAGGCACAGTTTCTGCGAGAAAAGAAACAATTTCAGGATCAATCAGATGCCAGAATTGAAACGATGACAAAAGAAGCTAATCAGGTGTGCAATAAAATCTTGAAGAACATGCAAGCTAGCACACACCCTGAGAACATGTTCAATATATCTGCCTTGCATGTAACAATTGTATAAAATTATCTTCTCCTAAACAGGAAGCAAAACAATCAATGATCACCCATACACAATGTGTAAAAGAAGAGAACCAAAAATTACGAAAAGAACTGCTAGCATTGATCAGGAGAACTCGAGGGCTTCATGAGAAACGACAACAGCTGGAAGAACAACATAAAACATTAAAGAGAGACTTGCAATATGGCAAGGATTTGAGCAGGATTCAAGGAACAAGGCAAAATAGATTGTACAAGTCTTTTGGAATCGATGAAAAGACAACATATTCAAATAATATAAATCATAGAATTTGAAAAATGTTGAATTTTATTGTTGAATGATGTATTCATGTTTTGGGGTTTGCATGGAAAATTAGAAACATATTTACAAAAAATGTGAGTATTTTCTAACTAAAGGCATTGTATCAAAAGTCAATATATTGACTTTATATATTGACTTATGATCCAATAAATGTTAATACTCATATTCCAAGACCTGCTTGTGGTAAAATAACAAGTACCTATACAATGAGAAATGCCAAATTACAAAACAATGTATTTAACAATACTTGTAATGTGACAACTTATCAAATTTTTATTAAGAAAGACCTCATCAGGGTCTATCAGGACAACTAAACCACCCAAAAATGACAGGGGTTTCTCTGAGTGGTTAGTCTCATCCTTCTTGTAGTTCAAACTTGTCATGCCTGGAAGTTCACTTGCAAAGTCTCTCAGTGGCTGTTTGCATACATTGATATATGTATTTATAAAACTTGGCTGTCATAAATCATTTCTTGGCCACCGCACATTTTGGATTTTATTACAAGACTTACCCTTCACTCATTAATACCTCCTCCACTGTTGCCTTGGTTATCCAAGCATCATCACATTTAAACCACTGAAAAACATATCAAAATAAAAATTTTCTTGTGAGCTGCCTGACCTTGAGACTCTCACTACTTGCTGTAGGTAAACTACTACACAAAATTATGACAGACAGGTCTATATTTTGCTACCTGATCTTTTTTCTGTCTTACAAAGCAAGTGTAATGACCAACTTCTAGTGTACCACTATGGTTGACAACAGCAAATAGAGAATATCTATAAAAAAAGGATTATCAGCAATTACATAAAAGCTCATTCTTTCATTTTTATGTACCCAAAGGGGTATATATGTTCAGACAAGTTTTGATGAACCCAGAACAATTCTGACAAGTATTCTTAGCAATTTCTGCTAAAGAATTCCCAAAAAAGCTTGGATAAATTATTGTGATAGTGAGTAAGCATTGATATTTTACACTTGTGTTGATGACTGACAGATCAGTAGCACTATCAGAATATTAATTCATGCCCAGAGTCATCAACACAATTATATATATAGTTGTATGAAGATTCATATACCTATAATCACTCAATGAACACGAAGAATTTGAAGTCCCAATATTTACATTTTCCATCTGGTCACTAAAATGAGAAATAATGTAAGTTTTTTTATAAAACAGTGAAACAAAAGGTTGAGTAATTAACTAAGTCCTACCTTGATGACATAAATGGTTTCATATCCAGTTCAACTGGAAAAGGGATGAAGGAGGAAATTTTCTTAGATTTTTTTGAGTGTTCAAAGCGCTATAAACAAATGTGAAGTTTATATGTTGAGAAATGATAGCAAGGAAGTTGAAGATTCTTCCAAGAAAGTTGACAAGTATCTCATTACTTTTAAAGCACAATATTTAGGCTTACCTTTAGATGGAAACAAACTACAATTGGTAATTTCTTCATTGACAGTTGCTTTGTTGCTTCCTGTGAATATAATTATATCTATCATGGAATGTTCCAATTCTTATGTTCACATTCTTTATCACAAGTACCCTGCCCTGAACTTCTCTAATTTCATTACATCATAAGTTACTGCTAATGTATTTATTGAATGATGGTTGTATCAATTAAGCTTCGTTCTAATCACCTAAGGCTGCTTTTCAATATTTTTATGTCGTTTTCTAATTCTTTAACCTTATTGTTACTCTCTAATTCTCTAACCGTCTTACTCTCTAATACCCTAATATCCTGTTACTCTCCCACACTAGGTTACAACACACCAGTAAGAAATATTCAGTTGACCTATACACACCTGATAACTTTGACATTTATTGCACTTTGTTTTACCCTCGCTTCCCAATCTTTCCACTCGAGTAAATCTGGATAAAAAACAGGATTGTGCTTATTTCACAAGCTCTTAAGCAGAATCAATGAAAAAAGGATTAATGAAATTAATTGAGTTAATTGAAGGGCTAGGTTACCTTTGTAGACATTCTATTAGTGATCTTGGAACAAAACTTTCATCCAGATGATCAGATTCAGGAGGTGTGCATGACAGTAAATAATCATCTATTCAAGAAAACAAAGACATTTCATGTTACAAGAGAGCTGTAAGAGCTAGCTGCAGTAAAAATTCCTAATGCATGGAAAACTATTTTTGTTGGCAAAGGTTTCTATGATGCATAAATTTTCCTGAACTTGCCTGATGGAGTTGGACTTGGCACAGATCCTGCAGAACTAATGAATGCTTTTCCATTGCCATTTTTCAAGGCATTTCCCAAATCTAATGAAATATCCCAAAACGGATCGATTGTCGTGGACACGCTGCTGCAAACTTGACACTTGAGCTCAGATTGCAGTCCACCAGTAAATATTCTATCAATAATGCAGTTACAATGATGTGGGTTGTCTGATTTCAATGTATCATCACAGTCCTCTGTGGATGGCAATAAAAAAGTTGTTGACAATATTAATTTGGGTCCAACTGTCTGACTCAAACTGCCAGCAATCGATCTACCTTTACAATACTGATGAAGGACATCCAAGGCAGCAATAAAGAACTCATGGGCATCTTGCTGTTCATATCCTGCTAAATGTCGAGCATTTGTCCACACAAGATGAAGCAATTTGTAAGGAATATGAGGTGTTCTTTCACCAGAATAAAACTAGGAAGTTGAAAAATGAAAAAGATATGAAGCTTACACTTTATGTTTGCAATCTTTTTATATTTCTTTTAGTATCATGTGTAGTCTATTTCTAGTTCAATTAATAATTGGTTTTTACAGAAAACTCTCATCCAACTTGATCACAATTATTCTATATAAAGTTAGTACTAGCAATGCTGAATAATCACCCAAATATTCAGTTCATACCTCTTGAAATAAGGAGACCATGGCACATACAATACATGTTCCATCCTGTTTCTTACACTTATGTTGGTCAGCCAAGAAATAGTCTCTCAACAATGGTGTATGGGTGAAGGCTTGGACGATACAATTCATGAAGCAAGTATTGCCGAGATTGATCAGACCACGCAAGCCTAAAAAACAAACAGTTTAAAAGTTGTTCTTTCTTGGTTCATATCATGCACCAAAGCAGGTCATTCAAAGTTAGGATGCACGAAATTGCACCCACTCAAAACACTTACCTATGATTGAGTTATCACAGACCCTCTGATATTTCACATTTCGTTTTAGAAGTTCAACATCTCTTCTACCAGGCAACCACTGCTCATAAAGAGCAGTCTTGTTTCCTGAAATTGCCCAACACGAACAAAATAAGACCAATAATTTTGTATTGTGAAGTGACCAGAAAAGTTAAAATTTGCTTGTATACCCAATGTTACTGCAGAAATGATGTGTATATCATGAATAACTTCAGTTTGTGTAAAAATGTATAAAAACATACCATAGGACCTCCACGCCTTGGCTCTTTCCTCACGAAGAATCTTCTCCAGAACTTCATTATGGACATAATCGCCACAGAGAAAGCAATACACTACACCATAGGTCAGGTCAACAGCTACGAAAGTGAGATACATGAGGTTTGAACCAGGCATTACCTGAACCAGGCATTACCTGGACCAGGTTCAATACGGTTTGAATACTACCAAAGGTGTAGTTTTTGAATACTACCAAAGCAGTTTCACCTGTGTTGGATGTCAGGCTATTTCATGAAGACAATTAACCTAAATTAGCAATCCACTTAAAAATATTGTGCTAGTCCAGCAACCATGTGATTCAACGATTCATTTTTAATCAGTGGGCCCTAGAAACTGGCTTTTGAACTATTGGGTGAATAATGTACACCAGTACATTTTAGTCAAATACAATAAAGTCAGAAAATAGTATATAGTATGGGGAATCCCCAGAAATCAAATCACTTAAACCTTTTCACATGCAACAACAGCCAAATCCACATATTTCTATGTCACGTAGTACAAATATGTTAGATTTTGAGGGTTTAGGGACGAATTACCTAGCTTATGGTCTTTCTTCTTCGCGTGAGCATGGATATGCTTGAGGCCAGAGTAACAACCAAAATAAACACAATATAGACAGGAGTGAAGACGATTTGACGATGTGTCACAGTCGTCACACTTTCGTGTCGCCTTGAAAATAATAAAAACGTATAAAATACCACGGAATATTACTAGCATATTGAACAAAAAGTCATAAAATACAACACAAGCATCTCTTACCTTTGCACGCCGGGTTTTTCTTGAAGAGCCAACGATAAACCACCCACAAACTTTACGGTAAGTTGGCAAGCATTCCTTTGTGAATTGAGTTAAATGGTTACAAGAAGCCATGAGTTAAAGCTTACTTTGAACTGTAGTAAAGGATAAGCCGCCAAAGCGGCAGAAAAACCGTCATGGGAAAACATTAAACTTCGTCATTTAACTTTTTACACCGGACAGGAAAGGACATGAAAAACTGTGAAAGCACGCGGATGCGCACCAAACGTATTTTAACCAACTGCGCATACCAAAAAGACGCGCAAAATACAGGAAATTTTCCCCTAAAATGTCACTTTTTAATACGTCTTTCGATGTTTATCTTTTTTTATCATTCAGAGCCATTTAAAATATAGGGGGAAAAACACAATTTGTTCGGCTTTTAGTATCTTCAACCGCTATGGAATTATATACAACATTAACCATGGTCTGATGGTCCCAATGAAGCACCATGATCTGTATTGTTGTAAAGCGCGAGCGTGCGCGTTATTGCAACAATGTATTGAATTAAACCTCCTCAAACCACGCTCCACAATATGTACACGATGACGTCACATCTAAGAGATGCTTAGTCCAGTCTTCTTCATACGGGCTGTTGATTGGATGTCTGTTGAGAGCATGCGCGTTGCAGTTCTCGCAAACTCGAGCGTTTGTACCATCTAGTAGTTTGAACGTCACACAGCAACGAGGCCATATGTGTCCAACGGAACATCGCCCAAATCTCACTTCGCTTAACCTAATTGGTTGCCCACACATGCAGTTTTCAAATACATCATTATGATCAAGTATCTCTTTGCATACATCACTGTCCATATTTGATCCACATGATTCCTCCTCAGTGTCATTCACCATAGTAATACGTTTGGTGATAGACCACACCTTTTCCAACAAATCAACAACCACAGAGCTTGAAGAGTTGTTCTGGGCGAGCCAACGGCAAATACATTTAACCGTCATGTCTCCTGTGAAAAATAGACCTTTGGTTAGTGGTGGCAATGAAAAATGTGAAAGAAATCATTTTAAAATCTTACTGAACATCTCGCCAAAATTTCAACCACCTACCAGCGACTGGAATGTATTTCTTTGACGTCTTCTTTGCTTCGTGGTATTCTAGAATGGACTCCAGAGCTTTTTCCATAGACAGTGTTGCTACTTGTTTTTCAATCTTTTCAACACGATACAAGCTTCTTAACTCGATGTGATTTTCACTGACCAAGTCGTCACACGAGCCGAGCACGACAGCTTCATGTGCTGAAATCATAAGTGAACAGAGTCGTTTATGCTTGAGAAACGCCACCTTTCTTGGAAGACGAGCAGGGACTTTATTATATACTAGAAATGATATACAAGCTATTATCAGAGTTGAGATGATCTTTTAGACTATACCTGAGTATTTCTTAAACTTCGGATCAGAAGAAAATAAGTTCCAAAGAAACTGAAGATAGGCTTGAGAAAAGTTGCTAAGAACGGCTGGTAGAACAACGGTGTCGAAAAGATCGGCTCTGGATAACTCTTGATGAATGAATCTATCTCTTATCTCAACAACATCTGAAACGCTGGATGCGTTTGACATCAAGTCTTGAACGTTCTCCTCTTTGGATAAAAGCGAGATCACCGCAATCTGAAAGAAGATAACATAAGATTGAGGAGCATTTTGATTCTTCCAATGTGTAAAGATGGAATTGAAAATGAAATAGTACGAGGACTTTGAGGATTGATTTCCCTCCGGCGTCTATGAGAGAAAGCCGCGTGCTTTCTACCGTCTGTGAAGGGCATTATCCTACAAAGATTTTCTTATTAATATAACGTCGTTTTCTTATGAAAACATACCTCGCCTTGGGAATCAATGGCGTTCTTCTTGTAATGAAACAATTTACGTTTGTTTTCAAAAAGCGCAATAAAGACACCATTAGGAGATATGGCGACGCCACTATAACCATGACCAGATAGAGTCTCGCAATCCATCGCTGTGCTGCGAACACGACTTCCTATAAAAAAGTTGATTATACAACGTCAGTTTACCCTGTGATTACCCCAGTGTTCCGAACAGTTGGAGGTCTTGTTGGGTTGGAAACAAGACTCCCTAAACTGTAGTGGTGACAGTTGATGTGGCGGTCGACTGATCGAAAATTACCCCATTGATTCATTGCGATCGTCAATCCAGTTCAAATACTTACCGATTTGGAACTGTTGAACACTGCCCTCAGCACTGGTACTGAAGAGCATTCCTGAAGGTGAGATTGCTATCCCAGTCACATTTAACAAATGAATACCAGTAATAACCTGTTTAACTGGTTTAGATAAGGCACCTTCCTTCATTAGCTGGGTTTGAAACAGGGTTATATGTGGACCTTTGGAGCAAGCCAAGTACAACTTGTTATCCTAGATACCAAAGAACAGAGTTCTTGAGGATGAAGGAGATTTTCCCAAGAAAGCAATAATAGTGTTCTCATTTTAGCAAATTGTTATCAATTGCCATGCACAATTATTTACACTCAATAGATTCTAGTTGTGATTTTCTAAACTGACCATTGTTGTAAACTGACCGTTAATCTATAAGCATTATCAGAATGGTTGTGGCAGAATACCTTAGAATACCATGCCATACAGTCAACACTGATGCCATCAGGTGTCTCAAAGAAACTGTATGCTTTAGCAATGGATACTCCTGGTATCCCAGCATCTGTAGGAGTTATCTTTACCAAAAATACTTTAATAATGCCGTCTGCATTGCCACAACCAAGGTAGGAGACTAAAATAAAAAAATTGGTCAATTTATAAACCCAGGTTGATTTTAACCTCACCTCAGCCTGGAAGATTAGTTTAAAGCTTGTCAAATTATTTATGTAAAAATGCATGTCTGTCTGTCTGTGTTAAACTCTAAGTTCACTCAGTTCATACGTGTTTATAAAATATAATTTATTGCATACCATTAGATTCGTTGTCTCCGTACCATGCCAAACAACTAGGGTAAAACAATGAGGTGTAAGCAGCCACTGTCCTGTGCATAAAGCTATGATTTTTCACAAGTGGTAACTGTGCTTGCCAGATAAACAATTGGCCACTTCTAACTATGGTAGAAAAAAGAGCAAACTTTCTCCAGACATTAGTAGTTTGTTGTAGGCAGTCCACTGTTGTTGGAAACCACTCAATACATGTGAAATTCAAAAGGTATTTTCTTCGTTGCCATTCTGAAAATTCTTTCCACATATCTTGGTTGCCGACTTTGTGCCTAAAGTCACTAGGCAACTCGCCTTTCATACTCATCTTGTCTTAAAAAATCAAGGCAAAAGTAAGATTAAACAAAAGAAACTTGAGAACATAACTCATAAGTGAATATAAGTGTTGTAGAGTCTGACTTAAACACAACATTCAGTTAAGCTACCTCATTTAATATAAGTTAATGCGTTCATAAACATATAGGAAAGTAATGTGGCTATAACCTTGCCTCACCTTTAAAGAAACTACCCTGTTTCATTTCATCAAAGTGCCGTGAACTTAAATCCATTATTTCACACCAGCCGTCAGGGGATTGTTTGTCAGCAACATACAAGGCCAATTTATTTGTTCGAAAGAGCACAGCTAAAACAGACCTAAACAAACATGTAAATAAATCATCTTAAACTGGCTGATGCGAAACTATAGTTTGCAGGCCTGGAAACTACAAGGGGGTTTTATTCTGATAAAGCCTGATATTCTGTTGTTCAATGAGTTAATTGTATCATGTTATTTGCACATGCAAGGTTAATATAATATACACCTGCCAGTACGATCACAACCAACTGGAGACCATTTAGCATATGTGACGTCTTCATAACAAGCAGATTTCAATATTGTTGGGGTTAGGGCAGGGTCTAAGATTGCTGTGGAGAAATATGGAGCAGCACTTAAAGGCACAGATCTGGTCATGGAGAAATCAAAATCTACATCAGTTGTTTTGGGCTTGTTATCAACAGCAATAGCACTTCGCTTGATTCGTAATTTTGATTCTTTCTTTTTCTCGTCAGTTTGTACACCAGTGATGTTCTGTGGTTAGTGTGGTATTGTCAAGGAAATATATCCCAATTTGGCACACTTCAGAACAGCTAGACAATTAATTCCTAACCAACTAGAACTATTAATTAAAGGATACAATTATGTTTACAAACGAGTTTGTAGCAACTGCCAGTCTGTTGTCTTTTGACCATGAAATACCATCAATGTTAGACGATCTATGATGAACAGATATCCGTTGAATCACCTTTGAATTTGCTCCAGCCATTTTTTAAATGATATTGATTTGATTGATTACAGTAAAACCAAAAACCATCTTCGTAATTTCTTTCTCTATTCCACACGTGGGCAATCGGAAAGTGTCGTGATATTTCGGTAGGACGTCGTAATACGTTCGTAATTCATGAAAATGAAAACGAAACTATTCAGACTAATAATCATAATTCGTATGTAATCCGTGAAATTGCGATGTTTTGTTATCCATAAAGATGTTTGTATAAAATTTGTTTTGAGATGCCTTTGTTTGTTGGTGAACGAGCTGTTTCGAGTTCTATAAACTCGTCGGCTGAATTGATGCAAGACTTTCCGGAATTAGAAGTACGACAGACCACAAAATTCTATAGAACTCGATTTAATTATTTCTTCTGTCAGCCGTGCTCGTCAACCCTGCTGTATGTTTGCTGTGTTCAGTCTTTATTACCTGTTATAATATTGCCTTTGTCATCCCTCCCGTGTCCAATAACTCCCCTTGCTCGCACAACTCTTCTCCATCTTCTTCTTTCTGAATAATATCCCTCATTATTCAATCTTCAGCCCCTGTTATAACGACTTTATGTAATTAGCAATATGCCCCTCTCTATTGCTAATTGCTTGTGCTGTCCTTCCCTCTTGTCTAAGCCCTCTTGGTCTCTCTCTAATGTTTCTCCTATCAAAATCTCCCCTAATGACATCTTTCTTGTTTCAATCCTCTTCCAGAAAACATCTTGTGAATTTGCATCCAAGGAACAGAGGACATTCGGAAATGAAACCATTCTTTATATTGGACAACGTGAATATGGAACAGTTTATCCAAATGACAGTGAGCATCAAGTACTTGCAGTTCCATGAGGACCTTCCAAGGTCGGAGTCCTAGTGCACATGCCCTCCTTGTTGAGCTAAACCTCTGTGGTAGTCTATGGTCCATGGAGTCTTTTATTCATTCATTACAATTAGAAATCTCTTTCTTAAAATCTAAGTCAGTTTGCCATTAATTTTTACTTTAGATTCTGTTGACATTATTGGGTCAGACAGTGCTACAACATGCCAGATAGTTGTTTTAAGACATAAAGGTAAAACATAAGATAAATCAACAATAAAATTTACCTTTTCTTCTTTAAAACTATTATTTTTAGTATTGGATTGACATTCTACAAAGTTTATCAACATTTTAAAAAGTTTATCCCAGCAATTGCATCCTATAAACAAATGTATTTCAACTTCATCTCCCAACCCCATCTTTGACTAGGTTGTGTTAAAAAATGTTTACCTTGCATAGGTATTAGGTTAGGTTAGGTTCTATATAACAACTTCAATCACTCTGTAGGTTCAGGCGTATGCAGCTTGGCACATTTTGATGGAGTTGGGATCTCAGAAGCTTTAGCAGAGATGGTTGCATCCCTTCAAGATCACGTCCCAAAGCACAAAGAAAATAGGTTGGTAAATTGTAATACTGTGTGTAATTGGTTTAATGCATAAGGAGTTCCACAGTAATGTTTTCTGCAATCACATTCAATGAATTCTGTTTGAATATCATTCCACCTATAAAGGAGTGTTACTATAAAGCATTCAACTATGTCTAACCCAAGGCCAATAACAAGCAGAGCAAAAAATAAAATGCATTTTAAGTGTCAGCCAAGAGCCGTTGGGTGCCATGGAATAGGACACCCAAATCAGTATACGGAACATATTTCAATGCAAGTTCAAAATGTTTCTCAACAGAATTGAGATGCATATTGTTGGCGGATTCTCAGACAGTCGTAAAACTTCAGAAGATGTTTTTATGAAAATTTTACGTAAGTGTTGTCAATAAAAAATATTCTTGCAGCTTAATATATCTTTATAAATGTTTAATTCAGGAATTAAAATAGGAAATTCATATTATAAAACAAGGAACTTCTTTGTTATTCTTTCAAACTAGCAACTTTGATCAAACCTTTTTATAATCTTTCTTAGGTGGAGCATGTCAAACTGCATTTGAAATTGATCTGCTTTGTGCTTGCGTGTGTAGTAGGTTGTGTCAAAGCCTTAAACATTGCATTCTGTTGTGCTCTGCATGGGATTCTGTCTATTTACCTAACTAGTTTTATTCATCTAGACTTGAATGATACAATAATGAATGGGAAACATGTGCCAATAATTTACGGACTAGGTTTGTAATGAAAATCCCATTATTCAACGGAAAATTAAGTGTCTTAATGTTTTTTAACTAAAATTAGTCCTATGTCAGTACAACTCAAACTGTTAGCTTTTAAGAAAGATTGAAAGATTTCTTATATATTATATCATTGTTCTGGTAAATCAAGAGTTTTCATCATTTGCAGGTGTTTTGGTACAAAGTGGCGAGGTGGTTCCTGTGAAGCAGTTTGATTGCCAAATACCAGATGAAATATTGAGACATTGTGCTATACATAGCTATGAACAGGTAATGATGACCTTGAATGAAGAAGACCTTCGCATTTCATCAAATTATATTTCTCTTCTGCATGATCAAGTCTGTCAGGATTGGACAACAAAGAAGAGATATGGCGACTCTTTTTTGAGGGTATATTCCCCTCCGTAGTTTGTTTCTAACTTAAAAAAACTCTCGAGTTTCATCATTATCCTCTATGGCAAGAGGTTTAACTTCATCCCATCATGAAAGGAAAGCGGGGAAAAAGCCCTCATCAGCGTAAGGTGGAACATCCTACCGATTTTCCTAATCTTTACAGAAAGTTCTCCAAGTGTACAGTTCATTAACTCAAGAAGTCAAAATCAAACCAGTTGATGTTTTCTGTCCAAAAGAAATTGCGATGAGTCACGCAAGTCTCTCTGATAAAATAATCCTGAAGGTAACAACAGCCTTTCTAGATGAACGCGTCATCACGCGTCACCCCATAAGCAATGTTTCGCGTACTGAGATGCAAAAACAAATTAGTTTCCATTTTTTCTTTTAGAATTTTTCCACATCGCCTCATTGCGAGCCTCCAAACTTTGCTGAGAAGTTAAGAAAAATGTTCCAGTTTCTTGCAGAGAATCAGAACATCCTTCAGAAATACTTTCCGCGTGGAGAACCAAGACGATTTAAATTCAACGACAATAGGGAATGGTGTTTGGTTGAAAATAACAGTTAATATGACATTGTATGATGAAATGTCTTAAAAGACGCTGCCTGCTTCTGTTTGATGCTTCCAGCTTATTGTAGTCTTAACATCAAGTAAATATCATCGTTACTTTTAGCCGAAACAATCGAAGATGAAATTTTCAATATTTAATGCCGAAAAATTCACGCATCTACACTACAAACTACTATGTTAAAAACTGTACAAAAGTATTATATTGGTATGCCCTTAGAATAGATTAGTCTAGCGAATATCGTATTTCATCTAAGAGTTCTATTGATTGTAATAATTGTGCCTTACCTAGGATATTAAAATCATTTAAATTCACGAGATGAAGAATGAAATTCCTACAAAGTTTTTCCTGCACGATTTTATCTCCATACTCGCGTACGAAAGTCTTGCAAGCCTCTGGGATCTGCAGGTCGGCAATATATCTAAAAAGAGAGAGTTTTAACCCCACTTTACCTCATTGTAACTCATTGTATACCATTCTTTCCCAGGCGCTTAGCCAGAGCTAATAGCTTTGAAATCATGAAACACTAGATACGTTTTGCAATACGTTAAACAGTTATATCCCGGGATGTCCCAGGCCCCTAACAAACGCGAGATGTCCTTACCCTCGTTTCATAACGTGAATATTCCACATTTTCATCAGCTTTTTCTCGCCGTCATTGACATCTGTGAATTCGTCTATCATCTGAAGTAAAAAGAACTCAAATGAATCACGTGTTCTACGCGCCTATAAGTGAGGGATGGGATGGGATGAGATGGGATGGGCACGGGGTCTACTTTGAGGTGTAAACGAGGATTAGATGATTGGGAAAGAAGAGTGTCTACCTGTTGTGTTTTAATCCGCAGCCATTCTGGGTCTATTTCATCTTCGCTGTCAAACTCTAAGTCATCAGGTTTCATTGGAAGGCAAGTGTTGGAATGGAAGTACACTCTAGGAATATGAGGGAGATCCAGAGTTAGTAACAAGGTTGAGAAAACTGGAAGCATCAGGGAAATGTACCTATTGTGACCATTGAAGAATGGTCTTGCTACATCAGCGTCACTCTCGTCAGGTTCTAGAAACTCATTAAGGCTTTCCTTGCCACGTTTTGGCCTGTAAATGAAGCAAGATTAAATTACTCCGAGTTTTATATGGAGCTCACTGGATACCCAAACAGCATCCCAGGTTCTATAGAGAGCTGAACATCTCATGACTCCAGAGATATACATAGAGACCACCGACTATCTTACCTCCATACCAGAACAGCAGTGTAAGGCGTCCTCCGAACGGGTCCATCTCGGCTGAAAGCATAGCCAACCATTTCATTAAGGTCCTCCACGCCACCAGCATAAGATCCATCATAACTTTCATTCAAACACACATCAATGCGAGCACCTTTATTGTGAGGCTAGAAAATATCAAACATTTCAACAGACGCGTCTCAAAAAAATTTTGATTGAATAAAAACTGGATATTTACGATGCTTACTGCGTAAGTGAAGAGGAATCTGCCATGACAGCATTTGAGATGTTTCAAAAGACTGTATAACCGAACACAATTTACACCACACCAGGGACAAAGACAATCATCTCGTGCCTCAGTTTGTTGCCTGGTATGATTGTTGTAGATGAATTGGTAGAATATTCGTAATCTTTTTCTGCTCTCCTTATCATTTTCATCCGTGGAGGCAACTGTGGTCAACTCCATATTCGCATTCGAATCAAGCTGACGTTCTCGTAACGGGAGGCTGCTTGGTCTTGTATACAAAGGTTTTCCTTCCCAAGCAAGTAAGAATTTCAACGTTGGTCCAAAGGCGTACAGCTCAAACGGTCCTAGCTACAAAGGAACAGGACAAAATTTGAAAACCAAAATAACGTTTATCTGATAAAAACATATGAACAATCCAGTTTATGATTTTATGGCACTTCATCCAGTGCTCTGACCACTATATATAAAGTAGTATATAAACAAGCAATTATGTGAACTACATACCTTCCCATTATAATCAATTTCCCATGACAACTGTTTTCTTTTGCGTTGTTTCCCATTTCCTTTATCATGTAACACGAGTTCATATTCCCCGTCAACCAACAAACACTCTCGCTCGTTACCAAAGATAATCAACTCAGTGAAGTAGATAATCTTATCAGACACTGCCCCGCAAGTCTGGAGACTAGTGTCCAGGTCTTCTGGCTTCTCTGGCTGTTCATTTTCAGAGTTCAAAGATGCCCGCTGACCTCGGAGACGTTTGCTAGGTGGCTCAGAAGACTCTGATTTTTCTACATAGAGATAAACATACTCATCAATATGTCTGTCTGGAACGATGAATGAAAACTGATGTAAACTAACGCTTACGTTTGGTTTCAGTTTTTTGTTCACTTTTCTTCCGTTTCTTTTTCTTCCCAGTTTCAATAAGAGGGACGCTGACTTCCAGGGTGAGAATGAAGGAACGAATATTTCGGTTTGTTTTAGGGTTAAATATAGATCTAGGGATGGAAACGCTGCAAGTTTCAAGTATTGGTTCCTGATCTGTGCAGGGATTATGAGGAACCAGACAGCGGCCAACGCGTTCTTGGATAATCTGTGGACTGCTTTCCTAGAAATACAACAGTCTGGGTGTAAATAGAGACCTTTAGCTTGACCTTTACGGCAAACGCCAAATCGCTAACAAAGTTTGTGTTTTAACTCCACTATCTTTAAGTGTGCGGCAATTTGGCTAAATTACAAACGTTCTGCATAAAACTTGTGATGTTCAGCAGTAATGTAAGAAAGCAACAGGCTATTTCTGATGTATTTAGAAAAGCAGCTAATTCAGCTTTGCCGTATAGCCGTGACGTCACGATTAGGAAGCATTCTCCTTCGTCAAACGCAATAAGGTTGCATCACATCACAGATATTAGGTTACATCTAGCTGAAGGATTAGCATTACACAAACCTTTCTTCTTTTGTGACAAACTTTGACAATGAATACTTCAGCAGGAACAAGATTTTGATCTGCAAGATTTTCACTTGAAGGTGTTGGAAGCTCTCCATGTACTAAACACAAATACACAGACAAATAATGAAAGATAAAGTGGAAAGACAGAGGGTCTGCATCGTTTAGACAGTAAAAAGAGTCAAGAGGATAAATAATTACTATCACTTATTTTCTAATATCAAATGAATAAATGTATATTTGTATTAGTACTAAACAAAATGGAAAATTATAGCTTTGGTATACCTGGTCCTCGAAAAAACCCTTTAAAAGTCAAGTTCAAGTATCCATTCTTCTCTGAACTGAAAATTATACAAATTAGTTGAATAAGAGCTACAAGAATTGCACATTGAATGCATCACATTTGCATCCAGTAAAGATCTATGAATAAATTTCAATGCAATTATTACATTCATTGGCACTATCTGTTAGCTCTACAATTCAGTGAATTCACGTTACTATCACTACCTCAGTTGAGAATCCCCAGTATTTCCTTGTTCACACTTTTCTAACAAGTCATCAACTTTAAATTTCCCACTAAAAATAATAGATTTTGTTCTAAGGAAATTGAACAGGCCAACTTTATGCATGTTGTCATTAGAGTAAAATACTGCACAATAGGCTTACCTCTGTTCTTTGGTAGTATTTTTTGTTCTGCGGTGTCTCATGTACAAGAGATTTCTATGTAAAAATATTGGCTACAAACAGAAAATAACATTCATCATACCAGTTAGGTCTAAATAATTATATAGTCCTGTGGTGGAATGTACAAGGTGTTCCAAAAAATTGCAATTAACCTTTCAAGCCAAATTGCTAAATGAAAACCTTGGCAAATTAACAAGAATTACCTTATTTTAAAGCCTGCTTGTTTGTCTTTTCAACAATAGATTTCTTAAGCATTTGGGGCAAGAAATCTATTTACAAGAACAACCGGTGATTTTAAGATGTAACATAGAAGAACATTTTGTGTAACCTACTTCAAAACCCAAAATTTGAATTGCCAATTGCATTTTTTTAGGACACCCTGTACACCCTAGACTACCACTAGTACTTTGAAACAATGGCGTTATACACAAAGAATGCTATTGTATTACACAACATGCATGAATACAAATTTTGGAAAACATCTATTTAATGTACACATTATACTGATTATAGCAAATTTTGCAGTATATGGTTTCAAAGGATCAGTGTTTTTATAATAAACTTCACTAAATGGTTTAAACTTACAATCTTATTAGCCTATAATAATATCCAATAATACTAATATAACTTAAATACTTGGCAAAAGCAGATTTGGTATCACATTAACTCTAGACAACTAAGACAAGTTTGCTTGTGAAATATTACCATAATTTTCAAACTTACTGTTATGATATTTCGTGTTCTCAAAAACCGGTATATCTGCGTAGGCTCTTGAAAAAGGAACAAAAATAAGTTTTAGAAAGAGACCACAATACTTTCGACAAAAAGCGAAATGTGCGTGAAATATTTATTGAAATAAGAAATTTAATATACTCACTTTCAAAGGTACGTAAGAATGTCTCATGGTCACTCCGTAACTGTTCAAATTTTAGATTTCTCGCAGCCATATTGACCGCTTCTCCTTTGTCCGACATTTTAGATAGTCTAAATGCAATTTTCCGTACGATATTGTGAAAGAAATCACAAGGAATTGCTCAGTTTTACGAGGGAACGTGCGCCATTGTTTTTATTCATGCAGCGTGGATTAGAATTTTGAAGTTAACCCCCCCCCCTGATTTAGTATTTAAAATCCCGCGGGCTTTCGGATCCTACTAAATACATTAATTTAATCATTGAGATTAGCTTTGCATTAATTTTGAATTAGATTAGATTAGGTTAATGGTTGGTTATGGTTAGCCCTAATCCTGAATCTCTCCCTAATGGCCTAATCCCAATATTGTTAGTTGGATTTTCATTGCCCAAGAACAAATTTGGGAAGGGTCTATCTTCAGGAATTAATTTGTGCATCTAGTTTTTACTGAACATGAAAGTCAGCCTGAATTTAGTGCAAGCATAGACAATCAAGAAAACAATGTCTTCTGGATTGTCTATGGTACAAGTGAAGAATACAACAAAATCTATAAAAATGTAATATTTTTTACCAATAATTCATCTTAGGATCAAGAATTACCTCCAGACTTATTAGGGTTCCCTATCTTTGGTGGAGTCAGTTCTTTCAGTTGACATTAATAAATGAATAGTTTAACATAGAAAAGAGGGAGGTCAAACAAATACTTTAGCCACAGGCTTGCGATACGAATTAGGGACAATTATACATGTATACTGTATAATATATAATTCCACTTCTGACTTGAATATACACTTTGATAAATTTCCCCTATATCTGTCTCTCCACACCAAGTAAGGAGAAGGCAAATGCTAGTATTTTTTCGTATGTTAAAAACATGAAAGCAGCAGTCAGCACAGTTTGTGTGAGCTTCGCCTCCAGTCCTTTATAAAGGCCTCTCACACCAGCTTGCCTAGGAAAACACAACATAATATGATACAACTCTTCAAACAAAACCCAAATTATTTCAAGATTAGTTTCTAAATTGTCAAGTCTACTTTATTGGACAAGTATAATGTGTGACTCAGGACACAAGTAAAGCACTTGTGTACCTTAGAATCTGTGCAATTATGACGATAAAATTTGGTCTTTTTGACTCATCTTTCCAGTAGCCAGTCTAAATGGAATACATAGAATAACCAGTCTTCATGGTAATTGGTAAGCATTGATTCATACTGTATATAATGCATGACAGAAATATAACATGAATACCCGCTGTTTGCATTGAGCAATCTGACAAGGATATGTTAGTATAGTTGATACAGTTTTTGCAATTGCACCAATTAAAAAATAATTCCATGATGGAAGCTGAAAGAAAAAGTAAAGTAATTTGAATGAAAATTCTGCAAAGATTTGTCCAGAAAGAAATAAGTGTAACAGTATGTTTTATACCAGAATGCATTAATATGTTATACTCATTCTACATGGTGAAGCATAGGGGTTATAATGTACCTCTCTGTTAGTACCACGCATATATCTTTTAACAGTTTCATAAACCGTAAATTGAATGGCTGGATTTGTAGCTAACACTAACGATGCTCTTGTTCCACTCCATAAACCTCTGAATCCTTCTTCACGAAATATCTGTTGAACTGCATCTAAAAGGAAAGAAGTACTACATACACTCTGCTTCACAAATTAAAGGACAGTTTGAATGTGTTAAGGCTGCCCTTAATTAAAGATATCAGGTTCAGTTGTTCACATCAGGAAAATAATGAGAATTTGAGCCACTGCCTCTTAACCAGGCCTTGTGAATAACTCCTGCACTGACTCACTCAGCTAAGCTGAGTCTGTACTACCCACTTTAGGTATCTAAAGCACCTGGGATGCAAGGCTAATTTGACCATAAAGTGCTCTCACAAGCCTTATTGCATGATAAAGATTGAAAGAAATATTGACACATTGCGTTGTAAATTCATATATGAAAAGGAATTTCATGATCAGATCTTGGTAACAGCACTCTTTGTTATTGATAGTATATTTTAATAACTAACTAGCTCACCTAGCAATCCAGTGTACTTATATTGAACTTTCTTATTCATTTCTTCTGATTTTAAGTTGACACCTTGAAGTTTTATTCTTGTATTGGCCACCCATAATGGTGTTGTTATCAGAACATTTATGATGCCTAAAAAGACGAAAGATTACTCGAACTTTTAAGGGGGAAACAGATCAGAAAGTCTGTAGAATGCATGAATTAGTCAATTAGCTGCAGAATTACCTGCGAGAAATCCAAACAATAAATCCACAATGGCTGTCTCAGGTGAATTCTTAGTGATGTATGCAGCTTTAAGTCCATTAAATGTGTAAAAGTAGACAAAATTTGAACAGTATAAACTTGACAGGACTGGTAGCAAACCTCGATATAATGCTGACCTGAATAAAAATAAAAAAATTCACAATTGCACTCTGTGATAATTGATATTAACCACAGACAGTGAGCTTTGGTTAAATGGGATAATGCCTCTTTTGTTTAGTTTGGGGATCGTGACTCCAGGTGAAACATACATACCCCTATCAGACTATCACATACGGTATAGTGTATGTATAAGGTTGATGCTTATATAGACTGGAACCCCGGTGAAAAGTGTCTTGTCACAGTTTAGCTTGCAATGAACTTTAATCACAAGAATTATTGCAGAACTGTCTATTGCAAACAATGTTTTTCTTCAGACTTACAAACCCTCCTCTTCAAAAATTTCATATACGACTTTCCATGTTGTCTTGGCCTTTCTCTTATCATCAACTAAAATCACATATAAAAATTATTCTCAATTAGCCATTCACAGACAAATGAATATTTGTCTAATGAGTAAAATCATCAATGATCAAGTAGATTATGTATTGGACTCACTTTGAAGTCGTGTTCTAGCAGTATCCAAGGGAAAGAAAACAGACAATGAAGTTATACCACCCTAAAAAATTTCAAAGGAGATACTACAGTTAAAAAAAGTCTTTGTAGTATCGTTACTTGGTCAAGTGATGAGGTCAAGGGATGGTCAAGTTTCTCACATGGAAAAATAGTTATCAAATTGCTCATATCACACAATTTGGGCCATGTATTGTCACAAGAAGGAATATGGATCATGGCCTCTGCAGGCAAGAAATTTACAGTGTTTTTATTACACAATTTGTGATCAGATTTACACGCCAAGGAAATCCATTCTCTTGGAGAGCAAAATGTCTGACCCTGGTTAAATAGATGGAAGATAGTCCTAGTAAGGATTTTCCATTTAGCTATGCATGGCTCTATACCCACTGAGGCCATATATATATAACTAATATAAGGCCTTACAACTTACAGGTATAAACTATTGCGTAAACATATTTATTAAAACATTTTATGCCCAATTTTTTACAATAAACATTGGTATTTTAATAAACCTTTTTAGGACATTTCTAAATAACAGCTGAATTGTTAATAGTTATCAAAATACCCGCAGTGAATTTTTCTCTGAAGAAGACTTTTCTTTACATAAATTTGAATGTAGTTCATTGGATTCACTTACCAATGCACCGGCGAACGCATGAACCAGGTTTTTTTGTGTTAATAATTGACGTAGAAAGTCAGGAACTTCGCCAAAATGAAGAAGAGCGCCAAGAGGTCCTAAATTCATAGGTTTTGAGATGATACTCATGGTTATTGTAATAAAAATTGGTCCTAAAATCGGTCCTGCAAAGAAGGCGAGCAACTCGCCATGATGTGCCACAATGGCGCTGAACTTCAATCTGACCTATCGATCAGTTCGATCAGCCGATATCATCACATTCATTGGTAAAATCCCAGCTATAAACTGTGAATCATCCTGCAAAACATTACTTATTTAAAATTCCAGCCAGTCTAGTTTTTAAAGGAAGGTGGTTTATTATATACTAAAAAGTGAAGTGTGCTTTTGATTGAGTAGAATAAATGAAAATTGCATACATTACTGGTATGAAAGAGATGACAATCAATCAATAGCTCTACAATAATTACTGGCAGTACTTCCATTAAGCAAAACAGTATTTTAATGTCTTTCGTACCCACACAATATTTTGTACATAATTTCAATTTTAATTTCAATCACAATATCACACACAAATCTTTTTTGCTTATTACATATAAGGAAGGACTTTATCATCTGAAGCCAACAATGAGGTCACAACAGCAACATCCGAGGCCACAGCAGGTCCTCTCTAATTTTATAATCAAAATATGTTCCAATACTCCTTGTCTTATTAAATGTTCACAATCAGCTCTCTGAAGCAAATGCTGAGAGTTTTTCTTCAGCAAAACTACACTTCCATCTTCCATCTCTAATTCACCATAATCTTCCAAGCATCGAACTTCAATATACAGAGACTTTGGTGGTTTGCTATCCAGAGTAAGATCAATACCAACAGACCTCATATACTTGGCTAAATTTCGATTATATCGCCCAAACCAGTTCAGTTCCTCTTCATTTAAACTATTCTTAACATCATCTGGCAAGACGCTGCCAAAATCCCATCGCATATCACGTATTTTTCCATTCTGTTGTAAACGTAGGCTAAAAGACATCGTTTATTTCGTTCCAGGCTTACATGTCGCATGTGTATGCTCTTAACATGACCACCCTCGCCAGCAACTGTGGCATTAACATCCTTTTGGTTCTGTTCAAACAACCCACCCATTTCGTCTAAGACCTTTCTCACACCATCCTCATTGTAAGGAGGAAGAGAACCATCAACAGATCGCTTTAGTTCCTTAACAAGTTCCAATGCCCTCTCTCCAAACATTTCAAACCAGTTGTACCAAAATTTTTACCATTACAGAACATTTCATACTTGTGCTTCCACTCCGAAGAATAAAAGTTCCTTCGTCATTTTTCCGATAAGACGTGATTGACATATCACTCATAGGAGTGATACCTGTATGACTCATATCATTTTGTTTTCACACAAGCATAACACAAATAAAACTCACGTAAGTGAATATCCCCAGTAGGCTGTTTGCATATTTAAGTTAGGGACACCACTAGATTGTGTCTGGTTTTGTTTTGGGGAAAAAACTTGCAAGTCAGTAAATTATGCTGAATCTTCTTCAACCTGTGATGATGAAGAGAATTGTGAACTACACAAAGATACAGAAAGTGATAGTAAGGAATCACTGGATTTTCTGAGAAAGGTGAGATACACCTTTTATCAGATAACTCGAACATCAAACGAATCCGAAAAAACAACGAATGTATAGAATGGCGGGATATCAACCGCCTAGCACTCCAGCATGAATACGTTCGACTTTCTCACGTTATACTGCGTCCTAAATACATATATTACAGGACATTTAATAAGGTAATTCAACAAGGGAGTTTAACTTTAATCGCGGTAGAAAAACCTCTGGTAGTTACACCATCCTTGATCAGCAGGGACGACCTCTCACGGTCTACTGAGATATGGAATCTGATCCAGGGTTTGTCTGGACACTTATCATGTCATATCACATCAAAACAGAGTTTTCGTTAATAGGCCACGACTCGCGATAAAAAGCCCACAAAAACGAGATTATCCTCACATAAGCGTTTCTGATTATGTTAATTCATCATTTGTGTTTGTCTTTCAAAGAGTTCTAATGTAACGCTGCTTAGGAATGCTGGTATTGAATTACACTGCATTAGATATTGGTCAATAAGATTCTTAACTCGAAGAGAGAAATCAGTTTCTAGTAACATTGTTTTCCCATTAGCATTGCACTGAAAGAGATGGAGAAGAAAGTAGAGTGAACTAAGGTTTTCCAACTAAAGATTGATTAGTCCGATTGCATGCATGCATTTGAACGTGGCCGAAATCAAAATTTAAACAAAAATCAATATAGTTACCTGGAACAAAAGATGATCTGAAGATCGTTCTGCATACATCGATTGCAACTTGTATTGCTGATCCTGAACGACATCAACACGATAACCAGTCATCGAATAGCAAGCTTCTCTGAATTCTTGAATTTTCTGGGCAAAAACCTCCTTCAATCTTTTGTTCTTTCGTTCAGCGCTGGACACCTGAGCTTGTAAGTCTAAATATAATGAAGACAAAAGTCTAAACCAAGTAAAACCAAGCTAGTTCTTGCTACAATTCGAAATCACTTAATACAGAAAGTAGACATTCCATTAAGAAAGCCATAAGACAAGCTGCAAGCTACAATTACAAACAAGCGATGTGCTAATTCAGTTCCGCCATGCAGCCTCACCTCTGACTTCACTGGGAGTTGATTCATCGATGACAATCTGCTCAACCTTTGATGGTTTTAATTTGTCATCTTCTTCTAAAGCTTTAACTTTTTTTCTCAATTTTTCGCATTCATCTCGTAGATTTTGAACCTCGACAGTTCTCAATTGACGCGCATGTGTAAACGGATTTTGAGAGAAATGCACCACCTTTACCTTGCTTGGATCAAAATCACCCTTAAACGGAATGCATGACATGATTTCAGATGTTGAAGTTTAAGATCAAACAGACCAACTGTGACAGACACATTGTACTATTTACAGAGACCTGATTCCAATATCTTTTTTAATAAAATATCAGATTTAGTCGGCCATAATTTCTACCTGTAGATTTCGTTGTTCAATTCTCGTCTGAAGTATTTCCAATTTCTCCAAAAGTTCTTTGTTTTCCAACTGAAGCTTTTCAATTACTTCTCTGTAAGAAAATCAGCATATAAACTCAATGACTTAAAATGAACAAGTCTTGCCTTGTCAAGAATTAAGATTCCCCTCGTATTCTACGAAATTGATTATCCATATAATCTATATTGTTGGTTCTCAACATGGGACGTACAGTATATACTGTACATCAGTCAAAATGAAAATGAAAACTCTCATGTGGTAGGAACGCAAATTACAATATGTGTATAACTTCAGCAATGAACACGATTTGTGCATGTGTATACGATAATAAAAATAATCCTTTTATCATATTGACAACCCGTAATTCAGATTATTATAATATTTCTACTTAATTTCTCTCAATCTCGTAGCCAGTTTCATGACAAGCATGCATATATAAAATGTGTTAAAAACTTACTGCAACTTCTCCTGTTCCAGGTTAGATGGACGGCCCTTAACAACATCACTTTGCTTCATAAGAACATCGTATTCAATCTTTAACTACAATAAAATATAATATCATTGCAGATTAACTATTGCAGATTAATTGTATGTGGAAATGAACAAAGTTTGAAGAGTCTGTTAACAAGAAACCATGCACATACCTTGTTGTATTTTATAGTCTCTTCGCTATTTCTCTCAATGGACATCTTCAGATCATTCTAAGCAATTGATGTTATGAAATTACGAAGTGTTTATGTTTTGTAGAATGAATATCATAAATGAAATACCTCCAATTTCTCAATGTGACTATTACAAGCTTGCAGCTGTTCCTCGGCCTGTTAGTCAAAGAAAACAAAATCAATACTCCCGTGCAGTGCAGTCAGTCTACTGTAAGAAACGCTAAACTCACATGCTGTACGCGACTTGTAAGTTGTGTTGCATAATTTGTAGAATCTCCACTGTCGTACGAACTTAATAATCGTCTACATCCATTTCTTTCCTGAAAAAAAAACAAGAGAAATGAAGAGCACTGTGCAAGTCTGTTTACACGATCCAATTTTGCAGATGTGACAGATAATTAGATGTAACAGAATTAGACATGGGCGAAATCCTTTCTACAATCAGAGTAACAGTTCCATGACCACGAAGCTTCCATACTTACTGTGGTGACAAGAGATAAAAGTTTATTCAATCTTTTCATCTGCTCGTTTTTTTCCTTATATTTTTCCTAGGATGAAAAACAATCCTTTACTGTTATGTGTTAATGAAAAAATTAAAAGAGCGATAATTCAAAAAATGGAGAAATAAATGAGATGACATACTTCTATATCAGAGAGCTTCAATTTCAAATCCAGAAGTTCTTGAGATTGCAGTCGTAGTCCTTCTGAACTTATTCGAGCGCTATGGTAGACGAAATAGGGCACGTCAGCTTGTACAGATGATACCTTTTCAGATAGAGTTTCTTATGCAAGGACATTATTGGGACGCTAGATTACGACCAAACTATTACTTGTATACCTGGTTGATGCTTGTCCATGCTTTTGCAATAACACGACCTGAGCTTTCTGAAGTCTAGAGATTTCTTGCAGTAATTCATCAGGAGATCTGCATAACATACAGTACAATGAACGAGAGAATGTAAAAAAATTGGACCTAACAATTGAAAACAAAGCGATGCTTACCCTATTGTGGTATCAACTCCTTCGACTTCCCATTTCCTCATAAAAGCTCGTTGTCTCTAGATACAGGACATACACAATATTCTATCTCTCTAGTAAAACAAACTATGAACGATATACAATTTCTTGCATTTCAAGGAACAAAATTCTTAATGTTCATTGCAAACAAGTAATATTCTTCATGGCAGCTCGTTTTCCACATTCACAAGATTCAAATATCCTAGTTGTTAATACAAGTTTACATCCTACATTAATCCTACAGTAATATGCTTTTATACAACAGATGAATAAAAATAAACATCTACTTACTTCACATTCAACTTCAACTTGAGAAAGATTTTTGAGTTTTTCTTCAGCTCGTTTTAACTTATTTTCACAACCATACAGTTTTTCTTTGAGTAATAAATTGCTCTTGTTTGTAGCCCTGGTGTGACAAATTAATTGACACTTCATTGTCATCAAATATGAAGTTTGTGATAGTGCATATGACTCGGGTACATTAACTGACATTGTGTTGGAACTACTAGCAGTTACCAACAGAGCAAATAGAAAAATTAGGACAACCATGTTTGGAATCAAACCATAACCTTTTGTTTGCGAGTCCAATGTTCTATCAACTAAGCTACTAGGTCAAGACAGCTCATATATGTGATATTTCAGAACGCAATATAGTTTGATCTTTAGTGAATTTGACTCAGGTGTACTAAATATTGCTATAGGAAGATATTGGTACTGTAGATAATATTTATCATAGTTTGTGAGGTAAGAAGTCTTACTTTAAATAAGCATTTTCTTCCTTTAGTTTTGAGTTTTCACATTCAATTTTGTAATATTTGGAGATTTGACTCTGCATTGTCAAAGCAACCTCTGCAGCCTGTTCACATCGAGCAAGCTTTTCCTCCAGTTCCTATAAAACAATTAAAAGAAGTCTTTACTCATTCCAGTAATTTTATCTAGGAATTTTATTAGTATACAATATCTTGATGAAAGATACTCTGAATGATGTAAATACAGCCATTTAATTACCTTAACTCTGTGTTCAGCTCCCTCACATTTTGTATGAGACTGTTGAAGTTCTTCGACATGCTTACTCACTTCTGAATAGAGCCTAGAAAATAATACATTGACTTACGAGTAACTGATTTTTTTTAAAAAATGACCAGCTTTGAGATGCTTTCTGTTTAAAATGTCCTTATGAGGAGAGCAAATTAAATATACTAACTTCTTGTAGTAGTCCAGTTTATTTTCACTATACTCAAGTTTGTTCTGAGTAATTACATTCTCAGTTTCTTGTCTGAAAAAAAAGTCTAAGTCAGAGTAATATCCTTCAACATGTAAGTGTTAGCAATATAGCTATTTGCATTTGAAACACCACTTAATACAATGTTTGGCATTAACAAGGAGGACTTGTAGAAAATAGAAAATTAAAGAACCTTTTCAATTGTTCTCTTGTCTCAGCTAGTTGTCTCCAAGAACTTTCTTTAGACTGAACAAAATAAGATGAACAGCATGACATTTTTGACATAAATCTACCCTCATGAGGTTTACTGTTAAACCAAATCTACAAAAATCATACCCCTTCCATTTCTGAGTTCATTTTCATCTTTTGTTGTAGCAATCCATGAATTCTTTCTTCTGATTTCTTCTTATATTCATCAAATTCCTTCCTCGTTCTTCTCAATTCTTCCCTGACATTTTTCTCTTCATCAACAACATATTTTAACTGTTGATGTAATTCGGAGTTCTTTTCAATCTCTCTTCTTAGGTTTGCTGGCATTTAATGAAATTAAAACAACCCTTGAAGACTTAAGGAATTTATGCTTTTTTTGAAATTTAATTTGTTTATACTTTCTAGGGTTTGTTTCTGGATGCTATCTGAGCATTTAGACAACAAATATTCAAAAAGACAATAAACAAAAGATGTTGAAATGAAAGGTGTTTAGGTTAATTGCAAGTGAGTTTTAAGAAAGCATTCTTGGTATTGCAGATGACCCATATATGAATTACTCTATATGCAAGTGAAGGTCTGGTCACAGGCTTGGAGCATGTCCCAGGAGGATTATGTGGAGGGTACAAATTGAAAAAATATATAAACTAATATTCAATATTTTCAGTCTTCATGCACCCTCTTTACTCAAAGCTAGTATATCTAAACAAATGTGCAGCCCTCAATACTTTTCCATTCCTGAAAAGAAGACCATTGAATAATAGTCTTTTTTACTATTAATTAATTAAACCAACCTCTCAAATTTGCAACAAGAATTGAGAACATCCCACAATAATGCAACAGTCAAATTTGTCATTAGTTCAGCAATGTCTTAAGTTTACTAATAACTGAGCTTTATATCTGCATTTGTTCACAAGAAGAACAACAAATAACAAAGTATTAACCTTGATGTATTTCACTCTCTTTATCGTATTCAATTCTCGCTCGTTTTCGTTCAGTCATCAAGAGTTTAGATTCATTTTCTAGCTGTGATATCTTTCCTTTTGCATACAACAGAGCTACATCTTTCTCGCGATCTTCAGAACTTCTTTTAGCAAGCGAACTGGTCGTCTTGTTGCTTGCCTGCGTCCTGAAGCTCAAAGGAAAACTAGAAGTTGGTGTTTGGTCAAAGTTTAGGCGACCAACAATAGAACGTTCCTCATGTTCAGGTAGAGTGAGTCTGTCATATTCCTGTAACACTTGTACAACTCCGGTACACTCGTCCGGGGTGTTCCACATTTCGAGAAGAATCGTTTCGATGTTAAACACAAGTTAAATTAAGGTAAAAGACAAAATGGAGACTGGTTATGTGGTTTTAAACAGGTGGTTACCATCAATGCCTCAATGGTGGTTACTGGTGAAGATTTCAGTTATGCCAGAGCACCTCGTCACCAGGCCTCCAACTCATACGCGGCCACAATATCCAACATGGCGACCAGACAGGAGGAGTGTATATTTTAAAAATCCTTAAAAATACGTTAAGTTTACATGCAAATTTAGTATATATGAGTAGACTTTGTAGTTTAATTTTTCCCCGCAATAAAATTCATTTCAGAATAATTCATACAATTACAGCATTGTATAATTGATAGAATATAAGGATAAACTTACTCTTCCTGCTGTCACTTCCCAGCCTAGCTGCTATGTGTATATCTGCCAGAAATTACTCAGAGGCACCGGAAGCAATCAAGGGCAGGCGGGGGGTAACAGGTAAGGCACCTTAGTTTACCAAGTCTGTCTTTATTCGATTATTGAAAATTATATGAACAAAACAAACAGGAACAAACTAGACAATCTTAACTAGTCAACTAGCCGTTGACTCTTCTGACTCTCATCGCAATGATATTCCAAGTTGTTTAATCAATCTCATTCTAACGATCAATTAATAAAATTTAATGAAATTAATAGAATTTTCTAAGAAAAACCCCCCAAATAAATCATAATAATAAAAATTGTAAGAATGTACTGTGCTTTTCTATTCAGAGTTTTGGTTGCGCTATTCTTTCAACATCTTCATACAACTTGTCGATCTCTTCAGCAAATCTCTTCTGCATTGTGAAACGTTTTGACTTGAGAGTTGGTGTCAGCAGGCCGTTCTCGATGCTGAATAATTCCGAAAGCAGGAGAATGGCTTTGACCTGCGATTAAAACAAGTACATTTTCTCAAATATTGTACAATAAAATCACGGTTATAGAAAAAAAAGACGAGCAATGTAATGTATTAATAATTTAAACTGAAATTAACGTTAATCGTATTTGTCAATAACGAAATCTCAAATTAGGAATTCTTCGCAAACCTGTTCAAATGATGCTAACTTCGCTTCTTTGCCTTTTGCGATAATATCTTTCAGAATCATGTTCTTAACATCCTGTTGGCGTATTAACATAAGAAATTTAACGGTGAAATATTGTTATTATAGCTACCATTTACTATATTTGATATCTTGCAATTTCGGATTCCCTGTGATCTATCGAATCAGGAAAACTGGCGGCTTAATTTTCCACTGTAACGTTTGCAGGAACATACATACCTCGCTTGCACACAATTCTTTGAAGGATTTCGACAAGCCATTTTCTGAAGCCCATTTCATAAGAATTTCTTCGTCTGGTACAATAATACCAACAGTGCAAGACTTAACAAGAAAATAGACGTAGGAGATATGGCACTTTGTTTGGATAAAGTTAAATTGTATCTACACAATCTAAGATTACGTCAATGAAGAGACAAGCAAGCCTACCTTAAGACTGTGACCATGAACAAAGGCTTGAGCTACGAAAGGACTTTTGATATAAATATTTTCAATCTTATCAGGAGCAATATATTCACCCTGGGTGAAAAAAGATAAAGTAAGGGTGAATAATCATACTGCTTGTGTAAAACACACGCATAACTCATAACACACCTGGGAGAGCTTGAAAATACACTTTTTTCTTCCAATAATTTTCAATGTGCCGTTCTGAATAAAATAATGCATCACGTTAAACTGGATGGATGTTTGTAGCATTCCTTATCCCAAACATCGCACTCTGCCCGAGGGGCATGACCTGAAAAGTCAAAAACTCACTGGCTTCCATTCTCCAACATCCCCGGTGTGAAGCCAACCATCTTCATCGATCACTTCAGCTGTTTTCCCAGGTTCTTTCAGGTATCCTTTGAACACATTTGGACCATAAATACACACCTATAAAACAAAACAAAACATTACGGTTACTTCTCTTTAATAGAGACAACTCTCTAATATGGACACTCTCTAATGGAAACACTTCTCAAATGAAAAAGAAACACGCGTCTTCAATGCATGCAGGCTACTCTTAATTTGGATGAAAATATTTACTTCTCCCTGATTCTTCGAGGTAAAATACTCCATTTCCGGAACATCGACGAGCTTGATGTAGTTACATACAATCGGCGCACCAACATGACCTTGATGACGAGGAATGGATAAAATATTAAATATAATCAATAGAACGATTATCGTAATATAACATGAAACACAGATGTGATATTTTCTTAGTCTTGAGTCTTGATCCATATACGCATTATTTACAACGGCACAAAATTATCCCTGCGCGGTAAAAAAACTGTGTTTTAAGAGATGATCCAGTCAGTACCTGAAGACATGTCTAATTTATTAGTGATCGATACAGCAGTCGTGGCCTCAGTTTGTCCATAACCCTCGGCAACCTAAGCAGAAACGATACGCATAAAAATCTTTTATGGTTTATATGACACGTATATAAAATATAGTAATGAAAGAGACGAAGATTTCTCACCCAACACCCGAATACAACTTTCAGAAATGTTAAAACTTTCGCCTCGATTGGAGCGGCTCCAGTGCCGATTTGTTGGATATTTCCTCCCAAGGTCGCCTTTGAAAACAATTGAAACGAATTTTTAGTTAAAAGAAGCTACTTCTCTTATCTAAACCAATTTGTAGATTTCTAATTTTCATCAATTTGTAGAAAACAATATATAGCTATATTATATAGCTATATAGAAAAAGGAATGATATTTCTTGGACAATTCTTTCAAGTGTTCATGTAGTTAACTACAAAAATACCTGGACTTTTCTAAATACAAGTTTGTCCCAAAAGCCGTTGTTGTAGATTTGTCCTCTGAAAGAGACAATTACATATGGAGTATGGACGAATAAATTGAGTATGATTGGTTAAATGTGTAGTAGACACAACTCACAAGAGATGAATTCATACACTTGGTGCTTACTTCTCTAAGTCGGCCAATTTCGAGGAAAAACCTCTGTAAAATAACCATTTCTTAATCCCCCCACTTGCTTCAACACCGGCGGTGACCTGTTCACAATTACAGAAAGAAAAAAGTATGAAAATTTGAGGTCAAGATAACTGTAAAAAAATGAAGAACTTTAGACAGTCTGAGTTCAAAATTAGGCCTGATTGTGGTGGCGAAACATCTGCAATTGAAACAACGTATAAAACTGAAGCCAACAATTTAACCAACCTTATCATAAAGACGATTTAACAAGCGCGGAACTGATGGAAACAGTGTAGGTCTAGAAAGAGAAATACACACATAGCAAGATTTGCTCCTACAAACTTCATATAACGCGCATGCTTTGTAAGATACAGTGATGTGAGCTCAGATGCTCAGCTACCGTAAGATTTATAATTTTTCTTTCACTATCATTGTTTGCCTACGTACTCACACTAACTCTCCTGACGAAGGCCCTCAGGTCCGGAAACGTAGAGAAGTGTTTTGTCTATTTTAGGCAGTTGTTATACCACATTGGATGCTAAGTTACTTGTTTTATGGTGTTATAATTTCCAACCCAGCGAGGACTCACCTCAATATCTTAATATCCTCCAACAATAACGGGATTTCTCCTCGGAAAAATCCAGTTCGAGCACCGGCGCTACGAAGAACTAGCTACATCGTGATAAATGATATGAAAACTCTGTTAGTACAACAGAAATAAAGTTTGAATGGAACCAATGTTTCAACGGTGCCCAGGTTACACGTATGTCGGCTTGCTATATCACATCCGTATTACCTGGATTATTCTTTCGTACATGTGTGGAAGAGGTAAATATGAGATATGGCAAAGACTTGGATTCAGCTTGTGGTCATTCTAAAACGAAGAAAAGGTTTGTTTATATCATCCAATATCGGTATTATTGTTGCGCCCGAATCAACGGCTGGCTATATCTCAGACGTCCAGACATAATTTAACTTTATCTAGTTCTGAACTACACATTATTAGCTAATTTCGTTTAAGTGTGAATCCGCCTGAATCAGTCTTACCAGATTATAATCCAATCATAATCTGAATTAGTCTTAATAGATCATAATCTGAATCAATCTTAATCTGAATAAGTCTTACCAGATCATAATCTGAATCAGTCTTAATCTTCATTAGATTTACCAGATCATAATCTTCTGAATCAGTCTTAATCTGAATCAGTCTGAATCTGTATTTCAGTCTTACCTTATCATAATCTGAATCAGTCTCAATCTGTATTTCAGTCTTACCTTATCATAATGCACTCGAAATCCAGCAAGGTTTGCAATTATGTTCTTGTTTGTAATCATAGCTCCCTTTGGTTGACCTAAAAACACGTAAATAAATTATTGCCATTGGTACTACGCAACATATCTTCACAATTATTCGCCCTGATAACGTGAAGAAGTCAGACCTTGTACAATTTTCTTGAACCCTCAAGATGGCAAAAATAATTTATTTAGTGAACCGTACCTGTTGTCCCACTTGTGAAACAAACAGTATACACATCCTCTGGTTTACCAGGCTGGAAATTGAAGGAAAAGACCAGAATATAACATCCAACTACACAATGAATTCATTCAATAATAAAGCCTGGTTTTCATAATTGTAATTCATCAGTAATTTGAATGATGTCTTGCTGTCCCTTAAGTCATTGAGGCATATAATCAACAACAGACTGAGATAGTTTGTAGATTATCGCTGATGAATCACAACATATGAAAACTTGGCTCAATCCTAGTGCAAACACTTACTGATTTCTCTTTTCGGTTATTTCGTCCCAATTCCTATATCAAAATTCAGTGAAATACTTAGTTTATGACATTGAATGGTTTATGTCTTTATGATTAATTCATTGCAGTCAACTGCTGAACTCAATACCTGGACTTCTTCAAAGGATTTCATCGTAATCCCAAGATTATCAGCTTTCTGTGCATCATCTTCTTTGAATTCCCCAATCGTTATTATGTGTTTCAACTGCGGACATTGATCAGCTTTACTCATTAGTTTTTCAACATTTTTTCCGTCGCACACAATTACAGAAATATCAGCTAGATGAAGGAATACAGAAACCAAAATCAGTTTGTCCAGCTGTGGCAGCCTGGCCTGCTTTCACAAGAGACAATATTATGCAGAATGTTAAATGGAGGACAGTTAGATCAAGTTTTATTAGGTATATACCACATGGGAAAAGTAGGGAGCTTAATAATTTCCACTCCAAGAGGGACTCATTTCACCAGGCCAAACTCGCCACATGAAAAATCACCTAAAATCAACATAAGAGATGACCTACCATGATTAACAATAAAGGTGCACGCATCAGCACCCAGGCTGTCATATAGTGGCACAGAGACCATTGAATATGTCTGACATGCAACATCAGTCAAGATCCACTAAAAAATACAAACAGGGTCCATATTAACAGGTTTCCTGTGTGGATCATCAAAACTCAATCATTCTGACAACGAAATAACGTCTTCTTTACCTCAGCTTTGTTTGTGGCATAAATACCAACAAACGTCTCTGGAGAAGGTTTGTAACCAAGTTCTAGTAATCCAGACCCCAGGTCTGCTGCTTTCTCTAAAACCTGGTATACAAAAAAATTGAAGCATTTAGTTAAATATGACAGTGGCATTGACCACCATTGGGATGAGATAGCAGGGGGATGTCCTTCCCCAACAATTTTCAAAATTGGTTTACAGATCTATCCAAATTAAATAAGAAGAGGGGAGATTAAACCTTTAAAACATTGACATGTACTGTAGCTAATTATTTACAATAAACACCTCATTGTATGTGATCCATGAATACGAACCATTAGATTGCGTACCCAAGCAAGGCTCGTCACCTAGAAATATACAGCATATTTACTCACAGTATATTGAAGGCTCTTTTCATTTATCACAATAGTTCTTTGTGAAAAAATACGTGCAAAATTACTCCACTTATATAATTCATCTCACCAGCTATTTCAGCTCCTTTAAGATACGCTTCATATGGAATTGTTATACCATCATACGATTCTATCAGTTCCTCAGAATGAACACTTCTCCTTGCACCTGGCATTCCCTGCAGTTTCAAAAAAAATTTATTGCAGTTAAGATTGCATGTCATACAATTAAAATCTATTACAACAGAGCATAATACAGAAGCAACTACAGGGGTCTATGTCATGCTTGAATGATTGGGTCATTTTTTTCTCAAAGATCTTGGATTTCTGATTGTGGTGTTTTCAACTGCATTGAAAACTACAAACCTGCTCCAAGATATCGAAACTCGGCAGTCTGGTAAAGATGGATGTATACTAGTATTTTGACAACAACATTGGAATTGTTGTCAAGACAGTATTGAATATTGTCATGCCAGAATTAGTTCAAAACATGACACTAAAACTATCCAAGTAAATTGAAATATTTTATCTCCGAGTTTCTCACGGAAAAAAGGTTGTGATACAACATTGGCCAATATTGATTATTCTAATTAATTACCTTATCTAAACATCTTGCTGTACATGTAGTTTACTTAAACGACTATCAGTATTTGGCTGATCAGAAAGCCAACAAATCATGTGTACACTTCACTTATCCGAAGATAATCTTACGCAACATGTTCACACCATGACACATAATTTGCTACATTATTAGCAAGACGTTAGTATTATCAATTGATGTGGCGATCAACTTATTTAATAATCGCAACGTGTAAACCACACAACATTGCATTTCAACATTTCCAACCTACCGGTACATCGACTGACTGACATTCCATGTCCATGTTAGCTGTCTCCGCCATTGGTAAAGATGGAGTTAATATATATTTGTGCAGACAGTAAGCAGTTCCTCCAACAGCAGCACACACGCCAAGACCAATAACAATTTGGTCAACCCTTGGTGCTTTGAACCTTGGCATGTTCAGAATTTCCCCAGGTATTAAACATGCAAATATTTGACGAATTCGATCAATATTTGATTGAATTCAACCGCAAACAGCAACTCGCCCCAGGCAAACGTTGGTATTACAGAGCCCTACATATGACTGGTGAATTATAGTGGCTGATATTCGTCTTTTAATCTTCAAATATTCGCATACAGAGACTCACAAAAGTAAAAAAAAACATACAAAGTTTGTAGACTTGGACAAGCTGTGAATTCACACTCTTTGAGACTTTGACCTTGCCTAAGTCTCGCCCTGCCCAGTGCCCCCTCATCAGGTGACCTTTCATGCAAGAGGCTTTTCGTATCACAAGATATAGGCCGTATTCTCTGGCACGAAAAGTCGCTTAGAAAACGATTTTCGTTGCCCCCCTTCGGGCACTACTTGAAAACACGATAGAAAATTAGGATAAATTATAGAAAGTCTAAATTCACTTGTTTTCACCTTCACAAACCTGCAGTTTTCGAGCATTTCATCTTCGAAACATCAGTGAATTTGCATGTTTTGCAATACACCGACGCCATTTTGATTCAGGAAATGTCGAGGATACTTGGTGTAATATACACTATATAGCAGATTCAGCAGTTTTATACCGGTATTTAAATGAAGTTTCCTACATTTTTGCTGTGCAAGCAGGTTTCAACAAGGAAGCTTTGAGTGGAGTTTTACGAGGTTTTTCGCAAATTTTCATAGTTTTTCAAAACTGAATTAGTCAGAGAAGAATTGGACAACAATTAATCGGAAAACATCCGCCAATTTTGCATACACGCATCAAAATCATCCACGAGCGTTTGTTTCTAGCCAAGTTATATAAAATAATTACTACACAATTCCTTTCCAGCATAACCTTTGTTTTATATTAACTACTTTTATAATACACACGTTTTCTCAGCAAAACTATTAACAACATCTCAGTTTTTTGACAAAGTTAATTACCAACGCCTTTATCTTATTATCATCAATCCACTAAAAACGAATTTGTTGAGCGAAAACCCAGACATCTTTACGAAGTTGAAAAAGAACAAATTTCAAACATTTTCCTTATGAAAACGTGTGAGGACTTGTGAAAACTGCCAAGTTGGCCCAAGTCTAAACTTGCTGAAGTATTGGAAAATGAATCTGGAAATCCAGAAGTCAATGTTTGTGCATTTAACAACAATGCACTGATTGTAGATGCTATGGCAGTTATTCAGTCGATGAAAGGAAAATGGAAAACATTTGGCGATGATGCTCTTTTAAAAACCTCAACACGCTAGCACGAAAGTATAATTCCAAATGATTAGATTGTTGCAGACAGGTATCCTTAGTTGAGCATAAAGAATGCAGAGAAACAACGAAGAGCTGAAGGAGTCCAGAAAGTTCAAATCTTCGGAAAAGATCAGAGTGTTCCAAAACAGTGGAAAAAGTGTTTAAGATGCGGTGAAAACCAGAAATCCCTCATATCTTTCTTATGTGAACACTGGAGGTCTGTAACTCCTCCGGTGGTTTTCCATTTCAACTATGTACGTAACTGCTAAAGAAAGATGCTATGTTTTATATCCCGGTGATTCCCCGAACGATATTGTTACAAGTAATGAGGTGTTTTCGCTTCATAGCACCCGAAGAAGCAGACACTCGTTTAATTCTACATGCCAACCACGCAGCAGCAACGTACGATAAAGTTATTATCAAAGGCCCTGATACAGATGTTCTTATACCTGCGATTGCCATGCAACAACAGATGCAGAAAAGATTTTCTTTTTGACTGGCACGGGAGATAGACGTCGTTGCGTATTTGTAGCAATTATCTCGAAATTCTTGGGCGTGGATGTTGCACTTTGTTTACCAGGCTTTCATGCTTTTACCGGTAATGGCATTAGCAATCAAGCAGCATCATGGTATCAGTGTTTAAGTGCAGAAGTCGATCTCCCATCACTGGTTGGCAATGGCTGGACGCTTGACGATAAAGAGCTGGAGATAACTTGGATGACACGCCCACCCGCTCCGCGATCTTTAATTGAGTGTCAGTTGAGTGCAAGTGCAAGACTGGATGCTCGACCATGCATGCGTTGTTCCTGCAAAAAGGCTGACTTAAAGTGCACCAACCTATGTTCGTGTGGTGATTGCCAGAATGCAGTAGTTGAAGATTGTAACGACGATGACAGCAGTTATGGCCTGGCTCAATCTGATGACGATGATGAACTTGAAGGATCAGGATCTAATCTGGATTTCGGAGATGACGTCGATGATGAATTGTGGTATTAGCTGTCCGATTAAAAGGGTTGAGTTCAACATTTTATTGTGTTTTAAAATTATAAGGCGCTCGTAATCTCCCACGATGGTATTATTAAAAACGTATCAATATCAACCTTGGTATGCGTGTTCAATATTTTAACATGTACAGTAGTTGTACGTTGCAAATCACAAAACAAAGGGTATGCTGGAAAAGAATTGTGTAGTAATTATTACTCCGCCTGCGTATGCGCAGCGGAGTCTTAAAATGCCATGGTCTTTTTTCCTTTTCGTCGTTTTGGGCGACAGAAGTTGGCATTTCTACAGGTAACCCAAAACATTTTGACCGAGAAGCCCTGAGTTTCACGGTCCACGGATGAATTAGGTACATCAGTTGGCATGCAGGCGGAGTGAACGCCTTGAGCAGGCGTCTTGTTTTATATAAATTGACTAGAAACAAAACGCTCGTGGATGATTTTGATGCGTGTAAATAAAGTTGTTCTTATTTATTTGTAAATTCCAAGAGCAGAATGCTATAAAAAATCGCAAATTGGCGGATGTTTTCCGATTAATTGTTGTCCAATTCTTTTCTGACTAATTTAGTTTTGAAAAACTATGAAAATTTGCGAAAAACCTCGTAAAACTCCACTCAAAGCTTCCTTGTTGAAACCTGCTTGCACAGCAAAAATTCAGGAAACTTCATTTAAATACCGGTATAAAACTGCTGAATCTGCTATATATGTCGTATATTACACCAAGTATCCTCGACATTTCCTGAATCAAAATGGCGTCGGTGTATTGCAAAACATGCAAATTCACTGATGTTTCGAAGATGAAATGCTCGAAAACTGCAGGTTTGTGAAGGTGAAAACAAGTGAATTTAGACTTTCTATAATTTATCCTAATTTTCTATCGTGTTTTCAAGTAGTGCCCGAAGGGGGGCAACGAAACTGAACGATAATCGGCCACAGAATACGGCCTAATAATAAAAGAGACCTTACAGCTATATTGTAAAAGACTAAAGATTTCAATTCAGAGGATAGTCTTTCTCAACAGCTGTGAGATGGACCTCAACGCTTTCCCCATTTATTAGATTCTTGAAAACGACCTCTCTACCACCAACTGTCGGGTGTTGCAGGTCACCAGGTTTCACAGTTACATAATGATTGAAGCTTGATTCTGGCAAAGTTTTTCCATTCACCAACACTCTATGTGAAACAACTGATCTCGTCAGATATACTGTGATATTAACAGGTTGACTTCTCATATAGAAATATTCATTGATGCCGTTATCCGAGGAATCTCGAAGTTTCTTCGTCGTATTGTAGTTCAAATCAGGTGAACTCAAACTTAGATTCATATTTGAAAAGTTCGGAGCATCAATTTGGGCCATAACCACGCACTCTGCGCTAACACTTTCAACAGGACCCTCTATCAATTGCAGATTTTTTGGATCATAGAAAACATAACCATACGTTAAACCAGGAACTGCTGTGTTCTCTTCAAAACGAACCACATGAGCCCTGGAACTTTTGTGAAGGACTTTGTATACTGGTGAATCAGAGGCTTGAGCCTTTCTCAGAGCTTCTATGTTAGCGAGGTCTGTTGCGACAAGAATGGCATATTCATAATTCGCTGATACAGGATTTACACCATGGTCTAACCACACAGTGCCATACCTAGCACTGGTACGTGTTTTACCATCGGATGTTTTCGAGTGTTGTCGACGAATACCGACATTTGCCGACATATCTTTCGGAATATAGTATCCATTCTCGTTTGAATCCAATATAGCTGCTGAACCGTTCAGCTCTTGTGTAAAGTCTTTCCCGAGGGAATGAAATTTACCATTAATGGAGATGACAGAACGATTGAATAAGTACTTATCCTGAAACAGCGTGGTCTGAGTTCGACGTGGTTCACTATTCACTGCATTGATGTTACTACCAAGACAAACTATCAAAGAATTGTAAAAAAATACCGATTTTCTGAAGTTGAATTTAGTCCTTTGTTTTGTGAAGATGCTTTTGTTTAAAGTATTATCATTCTTGCTCATGTTACTAGTGGGTTGCTTGCATGCCTCCTGTAAAAATAGAAGATATTTGATTATTCAAAAGATCAGAAGGTAAATTAGTTCCATATTCCAGGGTGGTTTGACACTACAGAATAAAGTAACCTTTGATAAA